GGGCGCATGCGCACTTTGTGGAAGAGCAGGGATGACAGATCAGCCAATGCAGGTCAGGCATTTACCACTGGCTCAGCTATTCGGGAGGCCCTAGAGTATGAGTTAGTGTGTTAAAGTTACCGTAAAGTTTGATTTAATAGCGACATTAAGAAAGCACACACGCCTTGATTTCAGTGGGTACAGGTAGGAGTCGAGAAGTTCAAGCAAGCCCTTGCTGTGGTCAGTGTGTGTGTCCGGGACAGGGGCCAGGCTGCCTGACGGTGGCGGGTCGCCAACTGGACAAGCCTCCCGCTGAACCCAGGGGTGGTCTTCATGAGCCCTGGCAAAGGTTTTGGAAGAACTTTTTCAAATGAATAATTGGTTAAAGAATCTATGCCCTTGCCCACCCCCCAAAAGCCTAAATGCACGAAAGCTTTGAGAAAAATTTTTGGTGATACTCTTGGAATGATTATCAGGTGCTTTTAACTGCTATTCTTTTAACTGGTATTCTCCTTTAGAATACAAAAAAGAAAAAGGTTTCATGGAAGTCAAATACTTCAAATAAATATTTTTTTTCCTGGCTTGTATCTATTTCTTATTTAAAAGTTATTTAGGCGTCGAGATTTAAAATACTGTCAATCATAGGGTTTCAGACTTACGACGTTCCAACAGCAAGTGTATTACCCCCCACTCTCACTCCTCTTTTAATATTTTCATTTTGGGCAACACCAAGCAGTACTCAGGGACTATTCCTGGGTGTGCTGGGTTGCTTCCCCAGGGTTCTGGGGGAACAATGTTGGTGCAGGGGGTCAAGCCTGGAACTTTGACATACCAAAGATGCCCACAGCTGTGCAGCTCTCTCTCTGGCCCCTTGTTTTTAAAAGCTGAGACTTTGACATTATTAATATGGAGTGTTAATTTCAGAAAAATAATTTCTCATTCGAATATAAAAATTAAGAGGGTATCTTGAAGTACATGAAAATTATTCATACAACTATGAGCTTCATACACTTTTCAAACACCTATTCCAGCATCTACATCACAAATGATGTGGCTTTTAAACATATTTCAGGATTATATTGACACTGATCACCAGAAGGCAAAGTACTGCAACATACTTTAAAAATATTTTTGAGTCATGCTAAAAAGTCACTGACCTATTTGTAGGCCTTAATCTTGAGCCCATTTTAATACTTAGCTTTAGATTTGGCATTGAAATTAAACAGCTTCCCTTGAGTGTAGTGAACCATAGAATGTTTATTAAATTCAGAAAGCTTTAACTCAGTATTCAAATGATTACTGAGTTGTTGCTAATGTAGGGGAGAAAAATGTTTTTCTTTTAGAGCATGGCAGGTCTGAAAATTAAATAGACAAAGAACAGCAGGAGCTAAGCATAGAATTTAATTTTAATTTTATGTGACCTGGGCATCTTCAGAAGAAAATGAAGAACTGAAGAAATTGTTAAACCCAAGGGCTTCTGTGGTAAATGTGATGAGACTGGAAAGTCACAGGAAGATGTGAAAGGAACAGAGTAGAAAAGTGGGGGAACTGAGGACCGGCAGGAAAACCCAGGTATGCAGGAACCTGTAACTGAGATCTCCAAGTCCATTGGGATTGGGACTGGGCCTCCTCCCAGCAGGTTCCACTTTCCAATAGCTCGGCAGTCACACCCACAAACAGCCCCCAGCGCCATGTAATCTCATCAACAGCCAAGAGCCAGAGACAATAAACTAAAGCTCCCAAAGAGAGTGCCACAGAATTTTCTAGACATTATATTCTATCCATAACAAGCAATACAAAACAAATCGTCTAGCATTGTCTTTTCAGCAGGTTTGAGTGGTGGTGGGACTGGTCGAAATATCAAATGTAACCAAAGTAGAGAGAGGGTACGGGGGAAATTGTCTGCCACACAGGTAGGGGAAGGGTTGGAATGGGGGGGGGTGGGGAAATACTGGGGATTTTGTAGTGGAAAATGTGCACTAGTGAAGGGATGGGTGTTTGAGATTGTATGACCAAAGCTCAAACATGAAAGCTCTGTAACTGTCTCACGGTGAATCAAAAAAAAGGGGAGGGGGTGGCAGGAAATAATTATAAAATAATAAAAATTGACATTCTGAATTATAAAAGAAAAAGTGATGTAGAGTTCATGCTCAATTCAATCAGCTTAATCAATGGCTGAATAAATAGCAGTACTCCTACATTATTAAAAGAAAAAAAAAACTGGGGGAACTGAATTCTTAGAATATGTCTTGGTGCTCTTCTGTCTTGGGAAACTGGAATGCAGTCCTCTCCTCTGCATATAGAGGCACCTTGCAGGAGAGGGAGCCTCCTGCTTCTCAAATTTCTCCAGTTTAGACGTTACTGGGCCAACTCGGGCAAATCAATGAACAATGGGAAGACAGTGCTATAGTGCTATAAACCTCTATGTGTCAGGTGCCCTATTTTGGGGTAGCAGGTCCTGAACCCAAGTTCTAAGCACTTGTGCAGTGATGTTATCAGGCAGACTTTTCAGTCTAGGAGGGGAAAATCTGTAATAAATACTAAAGAATTATGATCATATGAACACAACAAAGAAATTTCACCAAGCCCTGTGAGAGCATAAAAGGAACTTGGTTTAACCTCTTATTATCATATTATTATAAGTAGGTTATTATTATTAGGTTATTCTTGGTATAACCTCTGATTATTATTATTATTAGGTTATTATTATTAGGTTATTTTTGAGAATAACCTAATCCCATCAACGGCCAAGACCCAGACTATAAAACCGAGCTCCCGGAAGAGAACAACACAGAGTCTTCTGCCCCTGCGCCTGTCTGTCCTCACCCTGGCTGTCCTCACCGGGGTCCCTTGGAGAGGGGCAGGCTGTTTCCCTCCCCACCCTGAGCAGAGAGAGCCCCGGCAGCTGAAAACCTCCAGAACCAGCCACAGCCATGCTTAAGACCACTCTCCACATCCTCAGACGAGCTTCATGCATGAAGGAACCGGCAGGGGTACCCAGGAGTGTGGGATCCCCGGCTGAGATCTCCAAGGGACTGGGCCTCCTCCACCCAGATCCCCCATCATCCAGTAGCTAGGTGTTGGACCCATCAACTGCCTCTGACACCGTGTAATTCCAGCAACGGCCAGGACCCAGAGACTATAAAACCGAGCTCTCGGAAGCAGTCAAATGACCTATTATTGTCTCGTTCTCGCTCTCAGAGAACCCGGCAGGCTACCGAGAGTATCCTGCCCGCACAGCAGAGTCTGGCAAACTCCTCGTGGCGTATTCAATATGCCAAAACCCAGTAACAATGATGAGTCTCATTCCCCTGACCCTGAAAGAGCCTCCAATGTGGCACTTGCTAAGTCTTAGGGCTAGGACGAATGGAGACGTAACTGGTGCTTGCTCGAGGAAATCGATGAACAACGGGATGACAGTGATACAGTGATTCTTGATAACCTTTCAGTATCAGTATTGTAAACCACAATGCCCAAAGGTGAGGAGGGAGGGAGGGGGAGAGAGAGAGAGAGAGAGAGAGAGAGAGAGAGAGAGAGAGAGAGAGAGAGAGAGACAAAGAGAGAGACAGAGACAGAGAGACAGACAGAGAGAGAAGCACCTGCTATAGAAGCAGGTTGGAGGGGGTGATAGGAGGGAACCTGGGGACCCTGGTGCTTGGAAATGTACACTGGTGGAGAGATGGGTGTTGGAACACTGTATGATGAAACCTAATCATGAACAGCTTTGTAAGGGTCTATTTTATGGTGATTCAATTAAAAAAAAAAGAGGAATCTGGTCTAGAGAAACAGAAGACCCATCTATATCACAAAGAAGGAGACTTTAGCATAATTTCATTAAAAATTTTCTATTATTATTTCAAATTTTATGGTTTTAGGCCATACCCAGAAGTGTTCAGGGCTCAGGACACTCCAGGTTCCGTGCTTAGGGACTATGTGTGGTGCTGGGGATTGAACCTGGGTCAGCCACATGTAAGGCAAGCACCCTACCATTGTACTTTCTCTCCAGATCCTTAAAAATCTTTAGTTTTTTTAAAAAATATTTTTTGTAATTGAATCACAGTGAGATACACAGTTAAAAAGTTGTTCATGATTGGGTTTCAAATAATGTTTCAACACTGTCCCTTCACCAATGTACATTTCGTACAACAAATATCCCCAGTTTCCCTCCAGCCCTGCCACCTTCTGCCTCTATGGCAGGCACTTTTCTTCTCTCTCTCAAATGTTTGGTTTTAACATGTGCCAAAGACACTGAAAGACCCTTGCCTTATATGTGGCCGACTCTGGTTTGATCCTGACATTGCCTATGGTTGCCCTGGCACCACTGAACCCATCTCAAGGACAGAGCTGGGAGAAGCTCCTGAGCACCACAAGGTGTGACCAAATTCATGCTCTATGAGGGCCCCAGCTACAGTGATGGGAAGCTGGAGCTACTCCCTGTCAAGCATAGCTTGTAGGTGGAGGCTTGACAGTTGGAGTCCTGGGGCCAGTTCTGAGATGTCAGAGCAACCTACTGCTTTGCTCAGGGGTGCAGAAGATGGAAACTGAGGCCTGGAACATGCCAGCCACATGCTTGACCACTTGAGCCATATTCCCAGTTGGCGAGATATATTTTATGACTTATATTTTATTGTATTTAAAAAATTATTTTTGACTTTTGACTACACCCAGCACTGCTCGGGGATTACTCCTGACTCTGTGCTCTAGAGGCCGTATGTGGATCCAGAGATCACAGATGTTGTTGCGTTCAAGGCCGATGTCTTAATCCCTATATTATCACTCTTAATAATATATGTTTTTGTTTTTGGGCCAGCTGTGCTCATGGCTTGAAACTGACTCTGTGTTCAGGGATCATTCCTGGCAGAGGTCCAGGAACCATATGTGGTGCCAGGCCTCCAACCCATGCTTAAGTTCTTTGCTCATACATTCAACAAAATGGTAAACAACCAAAATAAGTATACCCCGAATGAAAGGTGATGATGAAGAGTGACAAATTAGACAAATTTAATAGAATGAAAGCAGAATAAAGTTGTTCAGAAAAGACTTTTATTTTCTTGGCACAGACATAAAAATGACAATCTGCCCCCTAGGTAGAACAGCTGGAGTCATTAACACATGGATTATAATTCACATGTTATAATGGTCATAGAAATAATGACATATTTTCTTATCTTTGAAACTTATTAAATTATCACAACATACTGGTTAAAATAACAAACTTCTCATGTTAGAGAGTAAGACTGATTTGCGTTAGGAAAAAACTAAGGCAGAGAACCAGTGTTAAACTCTAACATAATGGTACCTAATGCAACAAAAGTAAGAAATAACATTCTATTACACTTTCTTAAGTCAACTGACATTTATTCCTCTAAATCTGAAACTGCTATCTTAACTACTTCATTTTGATGGAATAAAGTATAGCATGCCTTCTTAAATTTTAAAACAACCATGCAGATTAAAACAATGTTCTTTCATTACTATTCCTTATTAGGAATTTTGTTGTCCTATAGATAATCCAATATAGCTGTTTTGTAACAATTCATTATCTATCTATATCATCATATCTAACTTTCAGTCACTTCTTTTGCTAAAAATGCTGGTTTTCTGTTCATTTTTTTCCACCTTTGATACAGATGTTAAAATAGAGAAACATAACTACACAAACTTCTGATGACTAATGGTTCTCCCAAGGAAGGAAGGAAGGACATTTTTCTAAAAGACTGTATACTGAGTAATGAAGGAAGGAAAACTTGGAAACCAAATTGCTTACAGATTACTACCAAAACTGCCCTTAACTTTGTGGGATTGAGTCTGCTCTGGATTGGGAAAACAGACAAGTTTTAATTTGTCTAAAACAATTTTAGAAGCAGTGTCAGAGAGTTTGCAGGCAATCCTCTAGTAAACTGTATGAACTTCAGGCAGAGTATATGACATCTGAAGCAGTTACATATTTTTGCTATCCAGAGTTTAGTTCATTTGACTTACTTTTTTATTCTTATTTTGTAAGCATAGTTAAGATTGTTCAGTATGTGACCTTTAACTGAGAAAAGTGTTGTAACATCACTTTTAACTTTAAGTATACCACTGACTAATATTAGATATTTAATTAATATCTATTTTATTTAATTAAATAAAAGGGTCTTTGCAACTACATTCTTTGAACTAAAAGTATAATGATCTAAGTGTTTTCGTGAGACAAGAGTAAAAAGGAATTTGTCTAGAAAATAAGTATTATTAAAAAATATCAAGTTGTAAATATTAAAAATCCCTTTTCTTTTTGACTTGTTCAGCTTTAAAATATCTTAAAATAACCTGAAAGTCTTTACAAATAATTTTGCTAAATTCAAGATGACTATAAAATTCATGATTATACATTTATTAAATTAAGATTTTCTTCAAAGGTAAATGTGTCACTATAGTTTTGATTAATAGAAAACAAGTATTTATGATGATCTTTACACACAAACTAAAAATAGTTGTCAAATTTTGGAAAACAAAAATTTTTTCTTTGAGATTCTCAGAAATATCTCAACAATTTGCTTCACAAAAATGTAAACTATATCATAAGAACCTGGAACTGGAAAAAAAACTGGAATTGAAGATTAAGTTTATAAAACTGTTTTTAGGAAGAAATTCCTAATGCTTTGTTTTCCCCTCCTCATATATCCTATGTATCATTAGCACAGTGAATTTTGTTAAATATAATACTGGTACTCACATTAGCACCATGCTGCACTGTCCTCCCGTTATTCATTGATTTGCTCAAGCGGGCTCAGTAACGTCTCCATTGTGAGACTTGTTGTTACTGTGTTTGGCATATCGAATACGCCACGGGGAGCTTGCCAGGCTTTGCTGTGCGGGCCGAGATACTCTCGGTAGCTTGCCGGACTCTCCGAGAGGGGCGGAGGAATTAGACTTGGGTTGATGGGGTCGGCCAAGTGCAAGGCAAACGCCCTACCCGCTGTGCTATTGCTCCAGCCCAATACTCACAATATTAAGTCATTATTATAGCAGTGAAAAGATAAAAGCACATTCTGAATATCTGAGCTGCATTTATGAACATATATTAAAGGTAGGCACTTCCATGATTCAGTTCTTAATTATTGAATGCAGTACAAAGATGCTAGGAATAGCAGAGTAAAATGTGAAAACATTAACCAGTCAATCAGGTATATATTATAATGAAAATGTACATCATGGTTTAAAGATCTTTTAAAATTTCTTTTATTACCTATTCATATTTAATTTTTCACTTATGTGCAAGTAAAAGATTATATGAATCTTCTTTGCAAACTCTGGATTTCAATCTCTATTTCTAGGCATTTAAAGAATACTTCTTGAATTCAAAAGAAAAACATCCCACTCATGATAATTTTTCTTTGCTCTCTCTTTTTCTCTTTTTGCTTTTTGGGTAATACCCGGTGATACCCAGAGGTTACTCTTGGCTCTGCACTCAGGAATTACTCCTGGCGGTGCTCAGGGAACCATATGGGATGCCAGGGATTGAACCCAGCTCAGCAAGGCAAATGCCTTATCTGCTGTACTATCACTCTGACCTGATGATAATTTTTCTTTTGATTAAAATCAAAAGCTTGCACATAACACACACACAACTAAGACAAAAAAAAGTGATAATAGTCTAATTAAGTATTTATATTAAGGAGATTTTTAAATGATTAAGGCCTGTGCATATAAAGCATTTAAGATCTTGCATCCATAATACAAGTGATTGCTATTTAATAAATATGTGTGAGTTAACTATAAGTCATAGAGTGTTTCAAGAATACAACCAATTGACCAGGCTTGTGTTTCACAGCTAAAAGGACAATATTGGCCATTCTCATTGGTCAGTTCTGGTAGTCCTTTCCAAGGGGATCTTAAAAAAAGAAAAAAATATTTTGTGAATTCTATTGTAAAACATATTTTTGTTAGATGAACAAAACAGGCAGTGTACCCACTAATTTTAAATTAGAAAACAATTGTTTAGTTATGTGCTACAAATAAAAAATGAAAACAATAATATTCAGTCTTTATAAGAACTATGATGGTCACACAAGATCAAGTTACTTATTCTCACCAGTTACATTTAAAAAAATTCACAATTTTAGGACAGTGGCATGGGGAATTTTAGAGTGGAAAATACTTAATCCTACAATAAAACCTTTTCTAATCAGGTCTAATAAAGCTTAGACTTAAGAGGTGAAGGATCAACTCTTTCCAAGTTAACTATGTTTAACAACAAAGCTTAAGAATATTTAAAAAATATATAAAAATGTCAACTAGTTCAATCTTTTTTGGAAAATAACATGAACACCTCTAGAAAATCCCTAAGAATTGATATGACCCAGCAATTCTGCATCTTGGCATCAACCTGAAAAGCCCCCAACTCTATTCTAACAAGACTATTCATACTATCAGTGGTAGTTTTCTGGAAGAACCCAAGTGTCCAAGAACAGATGACTGAATAAAAAACCATTGCATACTGGGCCAAAGAGATAGCACAGCATGGGAGGCATTTGCGTTACATGTGACTGACCTGAGTTCTATCCCTGGCACTATATATGGTCTCTTGAGCACTACCAGGAGTAGTGCTGAGCTCAGAGCCAGGAGGAGCCCTGAGCACACCTAGTGTGTGCCCTCCCCACCCTCTGTGAATAACAAAAACAAAAAGAAAAACTAAAACAAAGAATGGTGGAAATCACATTATACAACTTGTATTAAAGAATAAACTGTTCAAATTTCATTGATACCTCTAGAAAATATAAAAATGAATGATAGGGAAATGTCACTGTCACTGTCACTGTCCTCCCATTGTTCATCGATTTGCTCGAGCGGGCCCAGTAATGTCTTCATTGGAGACTTTGTTGTTACTGTCATTTACCTGATATATAACAAAGTGACTAAATGCTACTCACATAAATTACATTTCTCCAACAACTTACCTCTCAAGATGAATATAATGTCGGGAAAGTACATTTTTAACCAAAAATATAGTTTTTGCATTTATCTCTGGACCCATCATTTTGGAAAAATATAATTTTGCACGAAGGAAATACCCAATGGGCCACAGCCATTCCTAAAAAACATGATTTAAAAGTAAAGAAAACAAAGGACTGTGAATGTCTAAAAATACTTGGACAACTTAAATAGAAAAGTTAAAGAGAGATAAAATTCTTACAGGTCCTTGGTGATAATTGAAACCTTTAGCAAGATTGTAGTTGTCATTGTCTAATGCATTGTCATAAACTCCACAGTAAATCATATCACTGCAAAAATGATTGAAGTACAGGTTAAAAAAATCAGATACAAGAATCATTAGGAAGCTTATCAACAGCAAAGACAGGAAAAATAATCAGATTTTTTTGTCTTCTAATCTATAGAATAAGGTCATCATTGATTTAATCTTAAATTACAATAACATGAGTATGTTGATTATACAAACACAGCACACATCTAATGTATTGGGGACCACTCATTGGAAACTTTGTTGTATGTCATTTACCAAAATATCACTAAATGATGCATGACTGTAATGTGTTAGAGAATAATCAATAAAAACTTACTAGTTAACACACACACATACACACACACACACAAACACAAACACAGACATATATTATCTTCAAGGAGTTAGCCTGAAGCTAAGTACTGGTTAGTTTAAAGCAAAAAGTAATTTTTTTCTCTAGATCTTTAAAATGTTTATAACAATTAAAATATACATAAAATTTGAGCTGGTATGCATAGGCTCTTATTGTAAGGTAATGTAAAAATAAATATGAGTTTTTATAGCTACTACATATTGGAAGGCATTATTAAAAACTTCTCTATGAAGTCAAAGAGATGGCTCAATGGACTGAGTTCCTGTTTTGCATGTGGAAGGCCTTAATTTGATCCCTAGCTCTGCAGACTCCCCTGCACGTGGCTGGGCACACCGAACTGGGGGTTGCCCTTAGCACTGCCCAAACTCCCTCCAAAACACACAAAGAAAAAGCTCCTCCATGAATTTATTTATTTTTGTTGGTTGTGGGGGGTGCACCTATGTTATCTGGGGCACTGCACAGTACTGAGGGGGTTAATGCAGTGCTCAAATTTGAAATCAGGATCTCACATGTTGAAAAGCATGTTTTCTACTACTTGCGCCGTACCCTTGGCCAATATTTTAAAATTATCTGGTACGTTATCAGTTTATAAATATCAGTTGAAAATATCCAGAGAATTTAGACACTCTCATAAAGGATTACAAACCTTATCGTAGTAGATAATATGACAGTCATCTAGAATCAGTTTACATTATGACTTTCAATTCACTGAAAGAGAGAAAGCTGTTTACCCACATGAGTGAGCTCCTTATCTGAGGGGTTGAGTTTGCTCAGTGGTTCTTAGCTCCTCAGAAACGTGCAAGTTAATTCACCAAGCAGATAAATAGACACATATAACTTTGGATCTCAAGACTGAAATGACTACATCAAAAACGAAGAGAGCCTGTAAGAGATCTTATCTCTACAAACTAGACCCATATTAGTATAGAAAACAAACTGATAAAATTATCAAGTTTTGAGGAAGACAGCTAAAGAAAACCAAAAGTTCACTCAAAACTCAAGAAAAAACAAAAGTTGAAAAGAAATAAAACATAGTTTTATATCATTATAAAACATAAAATTATGAGGTAAAAAATGATTGGGTAAAATGATAAAAGTGGAAGTCAGGAGATAATTCAAAGGGCTGGTATGTGTGTGAGGCACCAAAGGCCCCTACCATAAAATTTAAAGAATTTTATGTTTATATAGGAAGGCAAGGAAGGTATGGTGGTGTGGAAAGGATAGAGTAAAATCTTAATCTAGAATCACACGAAGTAAGCAACTAATGTATAAAATTTTAAAAGTCACGAAGTAGCTGTGTGTATATACATCATATATATGTGATACATATGCATATATGTCACATAGAAAAATGTAGTAAGATCTAGGAGTAACAAATTAGAAGATACAAATTGTCACTGAGAAGACAGTATGTCTATACTTGCAATGTCTACAATAACTTTTACAATCGAAAAAACAGACGTTGAGAGAGAGAGTGGGAGAGTGAGAGAGAGAGAGAGGGAGAGAGAGTGAGAGAGAGAGGGAGAAAGGGAGAGAGAAAAGAAAAGTGCTGCCATAGAGGCAGGCTGGGGGTGGTCGCAGGAGGGATACAGGGGATATTGGTGGTGGGAAATGTACACTGGTAGAGAGGTGGTTGTTGGAACCCTATATGACTGAAACTCGAGCATGAAAGTTTTGTAACTGTGTCTCATGGTGATTCAATAAAAAAAAAAAGAAAAAAAATAGACATTAGAAATATTCATTATATTTGTTTTATGAATTAAAGAGTTTTACTGTTAAATGTAGAACAAGTCAAAGATAATTCAAACATCAATATTCAGTGAATGAAAATATAGAAGCATTTAAAAAGTTTTAACACAATTGAAGAGATTTTACTGATAAGCAAGTTATGGTCATATAATATCAATATGTATATTTTTAGTGGTGCTACAGGTCAAACCCAGGGTCTTGCTCATGCTCTACCACCAAACTTCATGCCAGGCTCAATATCCACATTTACAATATATATTCCAATTTACTCAGGCTCTAAAGTTTTTATACCAAGATTAAATGTAACTATATACTAACTACAGTATGAATAATGAACTTAAATCACAACTTACTCTGGATCTAAAGTTTTCATGCCAAGGGGACCAAGCAATTTTTTTTCTGCAATCTCCAAAGCTTTCCATGCTTTTTCTGCAGTAAAGAGCTCAGGAGCCTAGTACATTAAAAAAAAAAACATTTTAGGATCATAAAATTATGATATTTGACCTGCTGTGGGACATTTGGAACTTGGTGACAATGTCTAATAAGATCTAAAACTAAGGAGCTGACTTGGAAGCACTGGTTCTTAATTTCAGAAGTGAGGAAAGCTATCTGACACCTCAGTGATTAATGCTGGTGTCACTCAAGAACATATACTGGTTTCAGAAGGAAGCTGCCAGCTACAATGATGGAAAAGCACACTGAAATCCAAGGAATTCGTTTGTCATAGGATTTACAATAGCTCCCTTAAAATATGTCTACCACCATTTTTTTTCACTCTTGGGGTCATAGTAAAACACCAAAGGGCTTCCACTTCATTAGCTTGAGTAAATTCGTTTCTGATACAAAGAATAAAGTGAGAAAGCTTTGGTGATTAAGAATGTGCAATCATTTTCATGATTAAGTGAAATCAAATGCACAGTGAGCAAAAGTGACCTTTGTTATAATGCATAGTTATGTTTAGTACTCTTCCCTCCCGCCCCGCCCTCACACACACAGTTAGAGGTGTTCAGGGCTTACATCTGGCTCTGCTCAGGGGTACTGGTCAGCCATATGCAAGGCAAGCACCTTTGCTCTTGTAACTATCTCTCTAGCCTCTATGTTTTGTTTTATTTTTGATAAAATGGTCCTATCCTTACTGCTTTTTCTCGGGGTGGGGGGGGGATGCATACCCAGCAGTGCTCAGAGTTTACTTCTTGCTTTGCTGTAGCTGTAAAGTGACCACTCCTGGTGGTGCTCAGGGGACTGACCATATGTGGAGCTGGGGACTGAACCTGTGTTGCCTTGATGAAAGGCAAGGAAGCCCTTCCCCTCTGCACCCACTCTCTGGCTCAATCTTACTACTCTTTTAGATGCTTAATATCCTTGTAGTTTAAGACAGTAACAATTGTCACAACGGAGACGTTACTGGGCCCGCTCCAGCAAATCGATGAACAACGGGAGGACAGTGACAGTGACAGAGACAACGAGATAGTAGAATTCTTGGATAGATACAACAAATTAGAGTGAAACAAAGAAAACAGAAAGTGAGTTTAAGCTACCCACTTTAGGTCCAGGGCTTTCCAACCTGCAAGAGGATGTACTAGTCAAAGCACAGGTGTGCTAGCACAGATCGCCCGCTTTCAAGGCACTTGGGGCCAGAGATGAGGCAGCTTTGGTGGAGCAGGCTAATATAAACTCTGTGTGCTGTACAAATGCCAACATTTTCTATGTGTGCTCTGATATGAAAAACGTTAAGAATGACTTCATGAGCCACCCGCCATTAGTTTCTATTTTTTTCGAAATTGAATGTTAGGATATGAGACATAGGCATAGATTTTATTAATTAGAAAAGACATACAATTTGTTGGCAAAGGAAGACTGTTTTAAGCAACTTCATGAATTTGAAAACAAATGGAAATAAAGAGCTAAGTAAACCATATTATAATTAAAAAAACATTTGAAATAACAAGTGACTTACAACAACCATTGCTATGGTAAAGTTAGGCCTGAGTTGGTAGTCACACCAAGGGCTGGAGGCGCCATAACTATCTTTGTATATGCCACGTTTGTGAACCAAGTGAGGATGCTTCTCATTAACGTCAGAGGGATCTTCTGACACAAAAAACAGTTTTTCAAAATTTTTCTGTATTCTTCTGTTCCACTCATCGTATGACACACTCACAGTCTTCCCTGAAATATAAGAAAAAACTTGACAGGTTTAGCAAATAAATCAATACAATTAGTTATAAACAAAGATAGTAGAAAACAAATTATTCACTTATAAATAAAGTGAATAATCTCCTCTAGCCTGAAATTAAAAGTAATCCTTCTTTACATTATATATATAAAAAAGGATTAGACTCTAAATAACCTGTGATTTGTCTTTGTGTTACTAATATATTTAATATTATTTATTGGGCACTTGAACTGGGGCTAGTCTGGATTTTTTGGGGGAGACCACAACTGGCACTTCACTCAGGGATAACTCGGGGCAGCACGTGGAGGACCCTATGTGGAGCACGGAATTAAACCATGCAGGGCAGGCGCCCTACACATAGCACTATTTAGCCCTAAAGTGAGGCTGGTCCTTCAGTGTCAGAAGTTTTCAAAGACTTCAAGTACCGAGCGCCCCATAAAAAGAATATTAAATGTCCCATAAACAATTTCATATTGATTATATGTTGAAATAAAATTCAGCATTTCTTTTGCTATTAAAACATAATAATCATACTTCCATTCTTTATTTATACTTTTAATAAGGGTGGGAAAAATTTGAAAGTAATGAATGGCACACATTATATTTCTACTGAGCAGCAGTGTTCTAGAAAAAGAGACGTAAAGATTTCATAACTTTTAACAAAAATGAAACTTGCTCAAAGCCATACTAAGGAAAATGAAATGCACAAGGCAATAATTATGATGCTTCTCACATCTTATTTTAAAGTTGTTATTAAGAGGGGGCTGGAGTGATAGTACAATGAATGGGTAGGGTGCTTGCTCAGCACCTACATTTGATCCCCGGTATCCCACCTGGTTCCCTGAACATCATGAGTCATTTCTATCCCACCAGGTGTGCAGAATCAGGAGTAATCACTGAGCATCACCTGGTATTGCCCACAAACAAAAAACAAAACATAAGCAAAAAAAAAATATATGGTTAGCAATCGAGAGTGCCACTATTTTCATACATTAATAGTATGTATAAAATAGTAAATTAATAGTTTTCTTTCATTTGAATCTTAAGACTTTTTAAATATTAAGTCAAATAATGATTATGAAGGTTAAGAATTTAGACAATACATTTGACGTTTTTAAATAAATGAACTGAAGAGCTTACCATGTCTTTTAATAGTAACTTCACGATAAGGGAAAATGTTTTTTTGAGATAATTCAAGCAACCAACGAACGGCAGATTTACACAGCCCCACAATTTCTACAGCAGATCCATCCCTGAAATTAAAAAATAAATTTACATGCAATGAAATAAATGATTCTGAAAACAATATAACCTCTATCATGAAAATTATATATAAAATCTCACTTTATAGAAATGTGTATTGCATATAAGAATCTTTTTTATTTTACTGTTTTTCCATTGCTTACTGTCTTAACATATTAAAAATGTTTTATGAAATAAAATGGGATGATAGAGTTAAAGGAGGTAGCTGAGAAAAGGCAGGAGTAAGAAATCAGAAAATGATGAGGTGAAAAGTACCAGAGAAAAGAGAGTAAACAAGAATATTAGACTAAAGAAAGTCAGGGAAGAAATACAAAACCTTGGAAGCTCACTTCTAAGTTAATTTTTTTGTTTTAGGGTCACACTGGGTGGTGCTCAGGAGTCACTCCTGGCTCGGTCCTGGGCAATCGTCCATGCCGTGCTGCAGACTGAGCATGTGACTACACGTGTGAATCATGTGCTCAGCCTCTGAGCAACTTCCTGGACCCAAAACTCATCTTTTGGGAAGACAGAAGAAAGAAAATAGTCTAATAATGTACCACAAACAGGTTTTCAAAATAATCTGCAGGGGCTGGAGAGTCAGGACAGGGGTTAAGGCACATGGATGGCTTGAATGTGGCCAGGCCTGGTTGGAATCTAGTTCGATTCCCAGTATCACAGTGGCCTGAAAACATTGCCAAGTGGAGCCCTGGTCTCCTGTGAGCACCATCAGGTGTGGCTCCAGTGGCTCCCAACCAGCACAAGCTGACCAAACAGCACCATATCCTCGAGCCCGCGTGCTGAGCCCCTGAGACAGTTGGCTGAGAATCACTGCGCAGGGACTCTGGGCTTCCTGAGCACAGCCTGGGAGCACTTCCACCCCCAAAGAATCAGCAAAGCATGTAGCATCATCTAGTATTATATATGTGTGTGTGTGTATTTTTACAATTATATATATAAATAAATATATATATTTTTCAATTCTGACTGAAGATAGAACTAAGAATACGAGATCAGATTCTCAGACTTGATACTGTATCCAACATCATAATTGTAAAAGGATGGAATGGGATGAAGAAAACCAACTAATGGGGGGAAATATACACTGGTGAAGGAACTGGTGTTGGAACATTGGCTGACTGAAACTCAATCATGAACAACTTTATTACTGTGTGTCTAATGGTGATGCTGTTTTAAAAAGTGAATAAAAAGGAAAAAATACAACTAAGGGGGAAGTGTCTGTTTATATCTTCTTCCCATTTCTGAATGAGGCTACTGGGTTTTTATTATTGATGTCTGTGAGTGCTTTATGTATCTTGGACATTAGTGTTTTATTTGACGAAGTGAAATGAATCAGAGGGAGAAGAAAAAAAAACAGATGATCTCACTCATCCGCGATTTTTGAGATGCAAAATAGGCTTAGACAGTATCAAAAAATGACAAACTCTGGCTGCAGATTACAAAACTGAGATTACCAAGCTGGTGGAGAGAGAAAGTAGGAATAAACAGATGGACCAGAAGTAACATTGGTCACTGGTGATTGGTACTTGGTCATTGGTACTTGGATGGTGGGGAGGTTCAGGAATTGTGCATCAAAACCATAAACGTTAACAGAGGTTAAGGCACATTTAGTAAACTTGCTACTAAATTACAATGAATATTTATAAAAAATACCTCTTACAATAAATTTAAATATATATCAAAAAATTAAGGGGGAAAAAGGTTCAAAAGTGAAGGGATATCATAAACAACAGAACAATTGCACTGTCAGTGTAGCGCTGTCCGCCCGTTCATCTATTTGCTTGAGCTGGCACCAGTGACGTCTCCATTGTGAGACTTGTTATTACTGCTTCTGGCATATCTAATAATCCACGGAGAGCTTGCCAGGCTCTGCTGTGTGAGCAGGATACTCTTGGTAGCTTGCTGGTCTCTCCAAGAGTGATGGAGGAATCGAACCCGAGTTGGCCGCGTGCAAGGCAAATGCCCTACCCGCTGCGATATTGCTCCAGTCTGACAGAACAATTAGTTATTTTTTATAGATTTTTAAAAAATAATATTGAGATGTTTATAATAAAAGCACTTCAGGTTAATGAATCATGAGATTTTTCTTTGTTATGCTTATAGAGAACCAACTCATGAGGAGTAACTGAAGAGAGTAGTTTTCTTGATGACTGACAACAAGAGGATTGGTACATGACTGTAATGGGGGAGAGAAAGTGCTGAGTGGAAGGAATGAGGAAAATATGGACTGATTTATTAAAGACTACTCAGACATAAAGTGAATGAGTTTTAAACTGATTTTTTAACAGAGCAAAATGCTACGAGCACTATACACTAAACCCCACCTGGGTGTGGCTGGGACTCCTCTGTTCCTAGCTCTGTCACTCTCTCCCATCTTATCCATCCATGTGCCGCAGTTAGAGCGATTTCCGCCATAAACAAATCCTGTTTCTTCATCAACTCCTGCAGTTATATTAAAACCTAAAAATGCAGAAGAAAACAAAGGACTGTGATAAATTAGACCAACTGCTCAGTGGAGCAATTTAATAAAACCATAAACATTGAAGATGTGTATAATCTATGCGTAGTAATGTTATCTATAACTTAAAAGAAACTCTGTACTTGGAGAAATGTACAAGGATATTCATGAGAACACTGCTTATATTAGCAAGAAATGAATATAACTGCTGAGTATAAAAACAAATAAACACCACACCTTACATGTCCAATGAGAAACTCTCCATACCATTTGAATAGAATGAACTGGGGAACCTAGAAGACGGCTTAGTGGCTTAATGCATTTGCCTGGCCAGAACAAGGCCTTGAGTGCTGAAACTGTCACCTGAGCTAGTTGACGGATCTGCTGTTTGACAGTCAAGTAAAAATGGGCCCAGGAAACGGCTGTATTATCTCTCTGGCCCCTTGTTCTTTTTTTAAAGACTTTGAGGATGGGGGAGGACAGAAATAGTACAGAGGGTAAGGCACTTGTCTTGCATGTGGCCAACCCAGGTTCAATCCTGCACATCGTAAGGTCCCCTGAGCCCAGTCGGGATCCCTAAGTGCTCAGCCAAGAGTAAACCCTGATCGAGCACCAAATAAAGGATGTTGGGAGGATCCTCCCAGGATGGGAGAAGCATGCTGAAAGTAGACTACAGACCTAACATAATTGCCACTCAATGCCTCTTTTGCAAACCACAGCACCCAAAAGGAGAGAGAGAACAAAAGGGAATGCCCTGTCACAGAGGCAGGGGGGAATGAGGGGGATGAGGGGTGAGAGGGATACTGGGATTAGTGGTGGTGGAGAATGGGCACTGGAGGAGGGATGAGTACTCGATCATTGTATAACTGAAATCCAAGCACAAAAATTTGTAAGTCTACAACTGTACCTCATGGTGTTTCACTAATAAAAATTAAAAAATATATATATTTGGACATATGTCAAAATTGCTTCTACCTTAAAGAGTAAATCTGCAATGCAATCAGGAGTAAATGAATACCAGTCAAAACTAGAAACCATCATTATTACTATTTGTTATGACTGAATTATGTAACCCTCCAATGAATATACTGGAAATCCTAATCTCTGATACCTCAAACTGGTGCAGGATATCACAGATCACATTAAATTGTTTGGCGGATTGGAAAGAAAGGCTTGAATACTGTTTAAAATCTCACAATGGACAAATTTCTAGAACATACAAGGAATCATGAAAACCAAGAAAAATACTTAAGTGCCCAAAGCTAGACCAATAAAGGCAAATAATATGAATGGACAATTTACAGAAAAGAAAACTTTCCCAAAAGGGCAATGAACATGAATACATTCTCAAATTCATCACTGAGAAGGATTTAAAATATATATCTATATATTGCTTTCCACCCACGAGATTAATGAGTAATCTATGTGTTGGTTGCCACATGGGCACGTAAGAAAGTACTTCGAGTGCCTGCCATTGAGGCAGACTGGGGGTGGAGGGGAACTGGGGACACAGGTTGTAGTAACTGTACACTGGTGAAGGGATGGGTGTTGGAACATAGCATGACTGAAATCCAGTCATGGACAACTCTGCAACTGTGTAGCTCATGGTAATTTAATTTAAAAAAGACAAAAGGAAAATACTTTGTTTTTTTTTTCTTTTTGGGTCACACCTGGCGATGCACAGGGGTTACTCCTGGCTCTGCACTCAGGAGTTACTCCTGGCGGTGCTCAGGGGACCATATGGGATGCTGGGAATTGAACCTGGGTCGGCTGCGTGCAAGGCAAACGCCCTACCCGCTGTGCTATCTCTCCAGCCCCAGGAAAATACTTTGAATGTTAGTAGAAATATAGCACTGTAAAACCGTCCTCCCGTTGTTCATTGATTTGCTCGAGTGGGCCCAGTACGTCTCCATTGTGAGACTTACTGTTACTGTGTTTGGCATATTGAATATGCCACGGGGAGCTTGCCAGGCTTTGCCGTGTGGGCGAGATACTCTCGGTAACTTGCCAGGCTCTCTGAGAGGGGCGGAGGAATCGAACCTGGCTCAGCCAGGCCTGCCGCATGCTAGGCAAATGCAAATGCCCTTCCACTGTGCTATCACTCCAGCCCTGCAGAAATATAGATGGTGCAGTAATTCTGAAAAGAAATGTGGTATTCAATCAAAGGCCATTAAGTATACATGTAGTTCTGGGATAGCAATACTAAGTAAAATAAGCCAGATAAAAAAATATCTGAATGTTACATGGTTCCCTTCATACGAAGAATCCAGAATTGTCAAATTCATAGAAAGTAGAATAGTGATAACCTGAAGGTAGGGGAGGAAAAGTGAGGAGCTACTGCTTACTGAGTATAGAGTTTCACTTGGTATCACTCTGGAGTGATACAAAGTTCTAGAGACGGATGGTGAGAACAGGTGCAAAACACTGAGAATGTACCTAGAGTCACTGAATTTATTCACTCAATATGGTTAAAATGAAATAGTTCATGATTAAAATTGTAAGCATATGTGAATTTAAACATGAGCATAAGAAAAACTCACCAATAACAAAAACAGCAATTCAACTGGCAAATGGGTGAAAGATAAGACATTTCACTAGAGGAATACGAACGGTAAATGGCATGAATAGAAATTAAAAACCCATTGGCCATTAGGGAAATGTAATTTCAATGTGTAGTGGTCTAGAAAACTATGAGAATAGGTTTTTGTTTGTTTGTTCTAAAATGCAAAGACCAAAGATTGATAAAGAAACCTGATGTAAAGAAACCTGATGTAAAGAAACCTGATGCAAGCTCCCCATGACGTATTCGATATGCCAGACACAGTAACAACAAAGTCTCCAATGGAGACGTTACTGGGCCCACTTGAGCAAATTGATGATCAACGGGAGGGCCTTTACCTTTACCTTTACGATGTAAAGAAACTGGTTCTTTTCAGTCTGCTGATAGGAGTAGAACAATCTTTATGAAAACTAGTTTGTAGTTTCTTACAAAACAAAATATGCACTTACCATATGACATAATCAAATTCTTGAATATTTATTCAAAATAAATAAAAGTATAATGTTCACACAAAACATGCATATGAATGTTCACAGTAGTTTTATTTGTACTAGCTGAAAAATGGAAACAACCCAGACATCCTTCAGCAGATACATGGGATCTATAACATGGAATGTTACTGAGCAGTGAAAAGAAATGATGATTTGCTACATCCAGTGAAGAGCATGTTTTTCAAGGAAAACATTGCTTAATGAAACAGCTAGTTCTAAAAGATTACATAGAATATGATTCCATTTCTATGTATTTTTTCAAAATGATAAAAATACTGAGATGTATGACAGAGTAGTAGTTGCCAGAGATCAGGAATGGCTGGTATTATTATTACAAAGTTGTAGCCAAACTTTATGTTGATCCAAAAGTATTATTACTGTGCAGTGATTACAGAATGCTATAAATAGCGAAAACCTGCATAGAATCACACACACCCACAAATTCATGCAAAACGTAAGGACTGAGTATGGTTTATAGTCTAGTTAACAGTATTAGCTTAATGTTTATTTTCTAACTTTGATATTCGATTATAATTATATAAGATGGCATTACCAGAAACTGGGGGAAATATTAAAAGTATTCTGATATATCATTTTTGCAATTTTTTAAAAATCAGTTTTAAGTTCCTTAAAAATGAAAAGATAAAAAAATCTATAACCACATAAAACAAATCATCACTGTGTACTAGGCCACAGGAATGTCTCTAAGAGTAAAGGGTAATAGACAAAGTAACTGTTACTCTTGTATTGACTAGTAAAGGGAGTATGTTGTATGAATAGGAATGTGATAAACTTCAAATAGGTTAAAGAGTATATCTAATTTACCTCTGCATACCAGATTAGCCTTTTTCATAATAGGCATCTTATAATAGTCTAGAGAAATCCTAGATCTGTCATTTTGTAGCTAGATGGCTAGACAAATTACTGTTTCAGTAATCCTTATAATAACAATGAGAAAAGTATAAATTCTCCTCAGTGTTATTCAGAGTATTCAATGTATTCAATGAGATATAACTGACGTTCATATTCTCATTACACTAAATGGTGTTTCAGTAAGTAGTTAACATGTTACTTAGCACATAGTGAGTACTCAATTATTAGTGATTCTAAAATTACAAAATTACTTTGCAAACTATCTGACAAAGGATAGAAAACATATATTTCTTTTAGAAATTAAAACTGAGCCAGTGAAATCTTTAACTGTGCATTTATATATATATATATATGTATTTCTTTTTGCTGCTACATTGTGAAGTTTCACACACAGACAAAATAGTAGTTAGAAGGCTTAATTCTGCCTCTGAAGTAAATCCTTACTGAGAACCTAGAGCTAAGTACCTTCATCCTTCATGTTTCGATCGATCTGTGGACCAGCATTCCTTTCTCGAAACTGTATTCCCTGCATGTGTCTCTGCATAGCTTCCTGTATTATTTCAAACAATGGTTGATCCTGTTTGAGATATAATTGATGTTACTTCTGTTAAAAACTACTTTTTTCTTTCTTCCTTTAAATGCCACAATTGAAATTTTGTGAAGACTTTTTGGAGAAGTGGCAATCAGAGGTGAACCTGGTAAAAGCAGCATCGCTAACACACCAAATAATACACTTGAACTTTACCATATGAATACTTAACATGCTGTAGTTTAGTCTATTCATATACATGGCATGAAATAATATGCAACATTACTGACCGTGGATATGAAATCCTTTGAGCTTGCACAGTTTCTGTTAGACTGACTTGTACAGCTAGTAAGTGAATCTAGATTAATATACAGAAATCTGAATTTAAATTGGCTTACTATTCTTATTTATTCACACACACAAATTATGATAAAATAAAGTGGAACTTCAGTGGACAAATATTCTTGCAATCTATGTATCACGGGATGCAAATATATGCTAGATCTGAGGTAGCTTAGAAATCTCCTTACATACCAAACAAACTAACCTAATGAGCAGGTCAGAAGTGACATGATTATAGTATTATTGTGTATTTTTGAGTGGAGAAAAACACTCAGATGTTTATTTACCGTGCACCATTCATAAGATAAATTCAAGATGTCAAGGCTTTTTCACACCCGGGCTCCCCCTTTCCAGTCTCAGACTGCTCTGCGGTTGCCCCACAGTGCAAGTCAGGTGGGACTGGGCAGTGCATCCTAAACTATGCTTCAACCTACCCTGTGTTATATCATTATTTATTTCTTTTTGGCTCACAGCCAACAATGCTGAGGGGTTACTCCTGGTTCTGGTGCTGGGGGGACCATTTGATATGTCGGGGATTGAACCCAGGTCAGCTGTGTGCAAAGCAAACATCCTACCCACTGTACTATTGCTCTGGCCCATTATTTTTTATTTTTGATATATTCCCTCATCCCTGATGATATCCGACTCACCTTTGGAGGTTCAGTTTAGGTGAAATTTTAGTACTTCCTGAAATCTTTCCCAAGACACTACATCTCTCTCCCTTTTCTGAAATTATATATTATTTCCCGTATTCCTCTTTTGGTAATAACATTATTAAAGAACATAATATTCATATTATCTACTTCTACCAGATTGCTAGCTTTCTAAGAAAGGAGCAAGTATTTAACGTTTGTTTGTTTTGGGGCCACATGTGGCAGTGCTCAAGACTTATTCCTGGATCTGTACACATGAATTACTCCTGGAGGAATCAGGGAACCATATGGGGGTACCAATCAACAAATGTGGGTTGGCCGCGTGTAAGACAAGTGTCTTACCCATTGCACTATTGCTGTGGCCCCAGAAAGAAACAAATCTTATGTCTCCAATTATTCACAGTATCAAAAGATGTGAAATAAAATTAATATGTGCAGAATTCTTAAGATTTGGACTTTTAATTAAATGGTTTGGGGGAATAGGGGCTCCCAAGCAATGTTCAGGGGATCCAGGCCACTCCCGATGACCCAGGCCAACCCAGTTCAAAGGTTCATTACTTGGGCCTGAGTGTGTGATGCTGAGTCACCAGGAGCACATTGTGTAGTGCTCAGGGGTCTCCAGATTCCACTTGGCGGTGCTGGGGACTAACTTGGGCACATGCTCCAGTCCTAAGAGCCATCCCCGGGCTCTACTTTCATGTACCGGGATATTAGAAACCAAAGGTTATTTTCTAAGAAAAAGTTAATTTTAAGAAATAGTCTTTACCAGTGTGCCAGGAGGCAGAGGAACAGAATCATCTGTAGGGTACATTCTGGACACGGGACACTGGAGGATATCTAGGCCATTTGGAGCCATTTTACAGTAATCCTGAATACACTGCAGCCACCACCATACGGCATCCCGGCAATTGTATCTGGCACAAGTTCCTTCACCCAGGAGATTGGGAATGAGACCATGTCTCAGGGTAGCAGCAAATGCTAAAATAATATTCCTGCAACAACAGAGTCAGGCATATCATTGACAGGAAAACAAACGTTGAAAAATTGTCAACAAAAAAGGTACTTTTAAAATTTCAGAAACATTTTTTATCCTTATTTTTAATTGTTTCCATAGAAAGTTTTTGTGAATTATAGAACAAGCACTGAATTAAAAGTTAGAATCCCTTATACATGATAACCTCAGTACCTTGCAAAAGGAGGAGGAGGAGGAGGAGGAGGAGGAGGAGGAGGAGGTGGAGGAGGAGGAGGAGGAGGAGGAGGAGGAGGAGGAGGAGGAGAGTGCCTGCCATAGAGGGAGGTTGGGATGATGGGGGAGAGGATAGCAGGGAGGGCAGAAACTAGGGATGCTGGTAGTTGAAAATGTACGCTGGTAAAGGGAAGGGTACTGGAACATTGTAAGCCTGAAACCGAATCATGAACAACCCTGTAACTGTGTAGCTCATAGCGATTCAATTAAACAAAGAATCCTTGATTCTATCCTCTGCATTTTTTTTTTGTTTTTTTGTTTTTTGGGTCACACCCTGCGAGGCTCAGGGGTTACTCCTGGCTCATGCACTCAGGAATTGCTCCTGGCGGTGCTCGGGGGGACCACATGGGATGCTGGGAATTGAACCTATGTCAGCCATGTTGGCTGCATGCAAGGCAAACGCCCTACGGCTGTGCTATCTCTCCAGCCCCTATCCTCTGCATTTTTTAAAGCAAGTGGTATGATTTACTCTCTGTGATTTTTTTTTCCAACAAGGATTGTATCCTGTAATTTTTTTTAAGTCCCTCATAGCTCTAGATTCTAGTTTTGAAATCTCTGATATTTTAAGCTCTAAGTAACTAAAAACATGAATTATTTTAGGTGGGTGCTAAGAAGAAACTAATCATTTAAGAAAAGAAATAGGTAAAAGCTGATCTTAGAAACATAATTCTTTTTCTTCTACTTTTTTTTTTTGGCAAACCCAGCAGTGCTCAAGGAGGGATTATTCTTGGCTCTGAGCTCAGGGATCATTCCTAGTGGTGCTCAGAGGACCATATAGGGTGCCAGAAATCAAACTGGTGTCAGCCATGTGCAAGGGAAGCACCTCACACCTCTTAGTTTGTCCTGTCTCTTAGTTCAAAAATATGATTTCCTTTTAAAAACTGAAAAAGGATACTTTAATTTTTAAAGCATTATTCTGTCATATACCAAATGACAATGTAATTTATAGATAGCTTGGAATCCTAAAAGAAACATGAAACCAAGAAATTAAAATAAAGGTTTAATTTCTTGTTTTGCAATCTGTATGACCTTGAAAAAGTGATTAAAGAAATTAAGGCCTCAGTGCTTTGGATAAATCACTGACAAATTTATAAATTCTATGTCTCAGTTTAATACCCATTTCTTAATAGGGTAATGCGAAATGTTTTATTTTCTACAGTGTAGAAGTACTATTATGGCCAGTGAAACTTCAAATAAAATAAAAGGTCAGAGTGCTAGCACACCTAACCATCTAGAAAAAAAATTCTATATTTGAAGGTTGTATAAAAAGTCCCAGTCCATGAATACATGTGCAGAAAGAAGCAGAAGAGACAGCCAGGCAGGCACCAAAATGACGTCCTACATTTCCTAAATAACTGAAGAGCTGCTTAAGGTCAGATGGCTAAATTCTAGGCAAAAGGATGTGAATGACACAAGCATGTTCGTTTATTTAAAAAAAAATTTATATATTTATTTTTCTTTTTGGGTAACACCTGGCAATGTCAGGGGTTACTCCTGGCTCTGCATTCAGGAATTACTCCTGAGTGGAGGGGACCATATGGGATGCTGGGGATTGAACCCCGGTCGGCCTTGTGCAAGGCAAATGCCTTACCCGTTGTACTATCGCTTCAGCCCCAAAACATACATTTTGTCATCTGAAGAGGAAATTTTCAGTTATTTTTCTGATGTCAAAACAGTAAACCAGTAAATGGTGCTTTTTTCCTGTCCCATGAAAGTTTTACCTTATAGAGCTGTGCACTCGAACTTTTGAGCCATTGTGAAAACAGATTATTTCCTTTTGCTAACTCTGTCTTCCTTACCACAGGGTTTGGATTTAAGAAAACCTAACGTTTAAAGGCACCAAATTTTGTCCTTTTTGGGGGGCGAGGGCAGCACTTTGCAGTGCTGGAGGAGGGGTTTGCTTCCCGTGGTGCTTGGGGGATCTTGTGGTGCCTGGTTCCCACTTCATGTCCTCTGGTCTCCTAGCCAGAATATTCTCTTCTGCCCAAGATTCTGCATTTCTTTTTTCCTTGTTTTGGGTGTTTGAGTCACACCCGGTAGTGCTCAGGGGTTACCCTTGCTCTGCACTCAGAAATCAGTCAAGGCAGGCTTGGCGGTGCAAACAGGATGCTGGGGAAATCAAACCCGGACTGGCCACATTCAAGGTAAGTGCCTTACCTGCTCTACTAGTGCCAGATTCTGATTCCCCAAGGTTTTGCTTTTCTAACAAGCTCTCAGTTAACAGTCACGTTGCTGGTGTCTTAAACACTTTGAATGGCAACGCTGAAGAATTTATCTTTTCTAGCTCTGCTAAATTCATTCATGCTGTTCTGAATGAACAAAACCTCATTTTAAATCTATAAAATATAAAACTGTAGCTTGAAAGGTCAATACACAGAGAAAAACATGATACATTTTTTTCTGTGACTTCCAGAGTCAGCAATACCCTCATTGTAGTGGAATAAAAGGTGGTAGAACTAAAATTTTACCTAATTTTACCATTTAAATTCTTATATTTAATGCGACCATATAAATTTGACCGTTTAGTGAATAATGCTAACAGTATGTAGTTATACTTTTCTATTTCATTGAAATAAATCAGAAAATACTGAAGATAACTTCATTTGTGACCTTGAAATGCTAGAGAACTTGGCAAAACTCTGATGCTTTTAAATTTCCATTGATACTATTAAATGAATATATAAATGCAACAAGATATCTAAGGAAAACTATAGCACTGTAGTACTGTCCTCCCATTGTTCATTAATTTGCTCAAGTGGGCCCAGTAACATCTCTTGTGAGACTTGTACCCTGTTTTGGCATATCGAATACGTCACGGGTAGCTTGCCTGGCTTTGCCGTGCGGGCAAGATACCCTTGGTAGCTTGCTGGGCTCTCAGAGAGGGGCGGAGGAATCAAACCCGGGTTGGCCAGGCCGGCCATGTGCAAGGCAAACGCCCCACCACTGTGCTATCGCTCCAGCCTAAGGAAAACATAGCTCCCAAAACACTGAGAACAGGTGAAGAAGAAGGAAGGTTTAAAGAGTTTCATTCAGACATGTAATGAGTTGCAAAAGTATTTAAAGTTTCTCCTACCTGGCATCTAAGTAGCGTCCAGTAATCAGCAGTATGCCTCTAAGTGCAATAAAAGTGTCCCTTCCCCAGCAGCGGAAAAGACCAGAAGAAAAATGAGGTAAGCCTACCAAAAAACAAAAAAAGTAACATTATTCATCATCTTAATAATATTCTCAAGTTTATGATCTCTATTATATAGCAATGACTCTAATTAGTATATAATCTATATTATATACTATAATATATTATGCTATATTATATATAATTATATATTATAGTAAATAATATTTTATATGCTCGAGCGGGCCCAGTAATGTCTCCATTGGAGACTTTGTTGTTACTGTGTCTGGCATATCGAATACTCTCGGTAGCTTGCCGGGCTCTCCGAGAGGGGCGGAGGAATCGAACTCGGGTCGGCCATGTTGGCCGCTTGTAAGGCGAACGCCATACCCGCTGTGCTATCGCTCCAGCCCTTATATTATATATAATTTTATATAATATATAGTATATAATCTATAGACTCTAATTAGTATAAAATCTATATAGTAGTATAAAAATCTAAAACACAATTATGTTCAGAGATGTCACTTAATCATTCCAGATGAAAAGGTAGTTTCATACTTAGTGGATCTCACATTTTATTGACTCATTTCACTATGTGCTCTAAAGCTAGGGGACAACAATTTAGTACAGCAGATAAGGCACTTGCCTTACATGTAGCTGACCTGAGCTCAATCCCTGGCACCACACATGGTACCCTGTGCACTGTCTACAAGTGACTCCTGGGCACAGATTCAGGAGTAAAAGCTGAACACTCCTGGAGGTTCCTTCAAAATCAAAAAGAATTTTTAAAAATAATAAAACCCCTAAAAACTAAAAATGTTTTGAAAAACCCTAAAAAAGTAGGGATGGGGATATGGCTCAGGTGGTAGAACACATTCCTCATGGATGCAAGATCCCAGCTTTGCTCCCAGGCACAACAGAGCCCCTTTCTACTCCTGCACTCCAGGTGTGACCCTGGGTCCCACTTGAGTCCCCCGGAATGCCCTCCTCACAGTACTGCTCAGTGTAGACCCACAGCTAACAACAATACAGAAGTCAAGGACTAGCCTTTTACCTTGAAGCTCCGGGTGGCACGCAGACAAGTTCATTTGGCCTTGCCAAATCTCAGTAAAAATTAGTAAAAGATTTAAAGAAAAACAAAACCTTTAACATGTAAAGAAATATTCAAAATAATAGATACCATTGATATATTTGAAAAGACCCTAGCTTTAATTCTTACTATTACCATTATCATTTTGGGTTTGGAGTCACCCCATAATGCTCCCAGGTCTCCAGGGCTGTTCCCTGTAATGTGCTCAAGAGACCACGTGGTGGGGGTCAAGCCCAGGTCAGGTGCATGCCAGGCGTGCGCCCAAAATGCCTACTAGCTCCTGACTACTACTTTAGTTTTTTTATGAGTATCTGCATGGATTCACAGCAGAAAGGTAAGTACCAGAAGGAGATCAAATAGAAGTATAAAACTCTAAAACACTATGAAATGAAACATTCAGAAAAGTCTAATCATTCTAGATGAAAAGTTAGTTTCTAACTTGTTGGATCACCATCTTATTTATTTAGGTCTGAGTGGATGTGAAGTTAAGGGGAACAGGAAATCACAGATGATATTATTTTCATCATGCAGTTTATGTATTTTTTTGGTTTATTTTGAAATTTCTAAATTTCAGAGGCCTCAAATACTAAGTACTTTCTAGAAACAGCTTCAAATTAGGAAGAAAACAAAAGCTGTCCTTAGTCTATTTTTTATTACTTAGATTTATTACTCAATTCAGGCTCTATAGCTATCTGCAGAAAATGGGGTTAAATATAGTTTATAGCATTTGATTGCAATTACACTAATAACAAAAAGTTGTTTGATATTTGCTTTTAATATTGTAACTTGTAGAGAACCTTTCTCGGAGAGCCTGACAAGCTACCCGTGATGTATTTAATATGCCAAACACAGTAACAAGAAGTCTCACAATGGAGACGTTACTGGGCCCGCTTGAGCAAATCGATGAGCAACGGGAGGACAGTGTTTGTTTGACAGAGAACCTTTATTTGATATCTTGGTAATTCCAAAGTTGGGATAATTTTTAAAAATTGGAAAAAATGTAACACAATGCTATAGGAAGGATAGTAATATAAATGTGGTCTGAGAGTAGAGTACATGAAGAACTGTAAAAGAGAAACGGTCCAAAAAACATATACACCCCTAATTGCTGATGCAGTAATAATTAAAATAGTAAACATGTTTTTTTACATAAATATCTATGAAATTTTACTAAGCAGTAATATAAAATCTGGGGTGTTGGATAGTAACCCTAAGTGTTTTTGGCTTCATCAGTGAATTGCTCCTTTTCCTCCTCCCAGAGAAGCTTACTATGCTCTTGCTAGCATCCCTAAATTAGTTAAAGTTTATCTTTAACCTTTACTTTGTATTTTACCTCTCATTGTCACAGTTCCTCAAGTAAGTCTTGATTACTTATAAGCTAAAAATTTCTGGTAATACTGAACTTTGTATTTCTAGTGCTTTGAATTTGAAGTGCTGTGTAAGCGTTTCTGAAAAGCAGAAAAGTACCTGCTTTTCTATTTCCCCTATAGCCTTTTTATATTTTATTTTATATTAAAGAGCAATGTTCTTTGGTTAAACACAGAAAGACCGTCAATGCTACACTCCTAATATTTAGGAGTTGACTGACTCTGAAATATATCTACTCCTGGGCATTTGTCATAATTACTTGATTCAGGCTTCAGTCGCTATAGGTCCTAACACCCAAAAAGGGAGGTTCCGCTATGGGACTGGGATGGACCCGGGGCGAGTGGCAAAGCTACCCTGGCATTGAAATGGGACAGTCTAGAAAGCATAAATGCATGGTCTTGATGCAAGCTGTTACGACTTAAGAGACAGGACCCCCATGGGGAAGGACAACCTGAACTGGCCTGAGAAGACTTAGTCTGGGATTTATGGTAAGCCTTGTTTGCAGGGCTGGAGTGATAGCACAGCGGGTAGGGTGTTTGCCTTGCACGTGCCCAACCCGGGTTCGATTCCCAGTATCCCATATGGTCCCCTGAGCACCGCCAGGAGTAATTCCTGAGTGCACAGCCAGGAGTAACCCCTGAGCATCACTGGGTGTGACCCAAAAAGCAATAAAATAAAATTTAAAAAGCCTTGCTTGATCTCAGAGCCCAGAGAACTGTTTGGATCTTCGTCTCTTACTGTGTTTATCCAAACAACTGCAAGTACTGAAAACATATACAACTAGAGGGAAAGATAAAAGCAATGTAGATGTCCCTGGTAGACAGGATGTCTCCTTGCCTTAATCTCCTCAAGAGAATTTCCTAAGTTTTATCTATGTAAATGATCTATGAAAATTTCCAGATGTTTTATCTATGTAAATGATCAATGACACCTAGGTCTAATACCTCAACGCCCCTCAGATGTTCTGTAAGTATGCTAGTAGCTCTGCAATAAATGGCCATTTCCACCATCAGGCTGTGGTTGCCCGCCTGTCTCTCTGTCTCTCTTCCAGGGAGGCCTGGCAAGGATGGGGGGTGGCTCTTTGCCACCTAATGCAGATGCAATGCTGTATCACACAGCCCACACAATTTTATGAACTCACATCTTAAGTCCCTGGGTGGGCTTGTACCGCCGACCTTTTGGTTAACAGCCTTCTGAAAGGAAGCCTGGGGAAGATGAAAGGCAGCTCTCTGTCACCATAGACGCACATATATCCCACAGCCCACACAATTTTGTGGACTCACACTGGGGTAACATCAAACTTGTTTTTGGGCATCCCAGCAGTGCTCAGGACTTATTTCTAGCTCTATGCTCATGGGATCAGTTCTCATGGTACTCAGAGGGCAATACAGGGTGCTGTGGATCAAAATGCCTCAATTTCTGTACCCCTATACTACCACTTCTATTACAACATCATTTTTTTAAAAAAAGTAATCCTCCCCTGCAAGTTTTCCTCTGAAAAATACTCACATATTTTCATTTTGTACAATTTCTTACCTGCTGCTAGAGACACACAACACTGCTCCTTCTCTTTTGTGATCTCATTTAGTCTATATGGTATATCCACAAGTGAAGGAGAAAGACGCGGCATAGAAGGGAATTTTCCTATACCACACATTTGGATAGAACCAAGTGCAAGGTGCTTCACAAAAGTAGAACCATTCTGAACAAAACTGCAACAAAAGTAATAGCACTTAAAATATTATCAATTGCAATTACACTAATAACAATTAGAAAAACTGTAGTACATATTTTAAAAATCCTTAACTGTGGTCAGAAGGTGTAACTTGAGATATACCTTTATCAGATTCCAATACAGTAATGTCATACAGGCATGCTGTTTTTTAATAAGCAGATCTCCAAACTTTATTAAGTATATAATTAAAATTTCATAACCATTGATTAAAATATTTTAGAAGTTTTATTTTACTTGGTTTCTTTTCAAATAGACTGTACAAATGTGTGATAGTGTTACTGTCTGTTGAAAAAATTTCAATTTAGATAGTTTTCAGAGTTGTTTTAATTTCACTCAATATTCTAACAGGTTTTAAGTCTAAGGCATGTTACAAAATAAATGACGAGGTTCATGTTTTGTTCTTTCTGCACAAATAAGCCCAAATCAATTTAGTGTCTCCTCACTGATACATTCAGATCTCTAGTTTCATTTTAGGGAAATTCATTTTTAAAGATAAGTTTTATTCATGATGATAAAATATGTTTGTCTTAGTGAATAATTACAAAAATTACATATGTATATTCTAAATATTGGGCTGGAGCAATAGCACAGCAGATAGGGCGTTTGCCTTGCACGAAGCCAACATGGCCGAGTTTGATTCCTCCACCCCTCTCGGAGAGCCCTGGCAAGCTACCCATGATGATTTGATATGCCAAGCACAGTAACAAGTCTCACAATGTTACTGGGCCCGCTTGAGCAAATCGATGAACAATGGGAGGACAGTGATACAGTGACAGTGATTTTAAATATTATACAAAGTAATGTAAGTCAATAAAATATAAAATAATTAAAATTTTTCATCAGTATAGTTTTCATTAGTTATAGAACAGAATTCACTAAGCTCTAAAAAATATGTACCAGATCAAAGACAGTTAATTAATTTGCTGTTCATTTTCAAACGTTTTTCAGTCATCTGAATCTATGACAAAACCTTGTGTATTGGTCTTCAAAGGGTGTATAGCCTGATTTTGCATATGGTTTCTGAAAAAAATGCCTATTCATTCAAGCTTTTTTGGTTATACCTTGACATCTGCCTCCATGCTATATCCAGAAGAGTGGTGTATGCACCAATTAATATAGCATCAAAGTAACATGGGATAAGATAACGTGGGATCTGCTTCAGGTAGAAGAACATAGCCTGCAACCATTTACCGACCTGTTACAAAGATAATTTTAAAAGTTAATTTGGTGTGTTTACAGGCTAGGTGCATTATAAGAGGCAAATCCAAACAAGCAAAGATACCACGTAGCAATCTATCAACCAGGTTTCCATTTATTAGAATTAAAAAGTGATAAGGGAGGAAAATGGTCCATGTTAGAAAAGACTGCAAATACCACATGCAACTCAGTTCTTATTGTATCCTTTTTTTTTTTTTGGATTAAAGTATAGTTTTTTTTTTCTTACTTCAGCAATAGCGCCTGGTCTCGTGAGAAGTCGGCCACTAACATAGTCGATCATCCAGTCTCCAGATCTCAAATTATCACAAAAGGGATGGCCCAAATCATTCTTTGGTCTTATGTCTGCCAGTACAGATATTAATCCTGAAAGTTTAGAAAGATATCCTGTTATGTTATTGGTAGAGACGACTTGTTCCCTTGGTCTGGGCTACTGCTAGTCTCTACTGATGTGGGCTAAATAGATATTGGGGCTGCCTGCAAAGGATCACATGATCCTCAGTGAGTAGCACTTCCCATGAATGAGCCATGTTACTTAGGTCAACTGAGAGTAGGAGCTACTACCACAGGAGCTAGGCAGAACTTTCCAGGATTCCACCTTGTGAGACTGGCCTTACTCCTTTGGACATTAATGTCACAATAATCAAAGGTAACAAGTGTTTTCCCTGCCTAAGTGATGCTTGTCTTTTTATGCTGAAAAGACAATTAACATTCCGACAGATTCTCATAGAATTACAGAAGTGTTTAAAATGCAAGAACACCTATGGAGGGGGTGTCCTGGGGAGGGGGAGGGTATGTTCCTGCTCTGCTGAAGTCCTAGCAGTCGCACCCACACCCACACCCCACAGACGCCAACATGCCAATGGCCCAATTCCACTAATGTACAACTAATCTCTGCAGAGAAGTCAAACCACAAAAATTTCAGGTACACTAGCTTTTAGGCTGAAATTTCTGGGGTGTTCTTGGAGTGAGGGCAGACAGCCTCCATTTCTCCCAACTTCTGCAGGCCCCAGCAGTGACAACCACATATCACAGCTGCAGCCATGTGAACTCATCCACCCAGTTCTACAGATGCTGAAATTCCCAGAGTGTGCGGCTTCATGTGTGGCCATGTAACATCTCCAAATTCCACAACACTGACATATCAGTAGGAACACACCAAATTAGATGGCACAGAAGCTAACTAAGCTCAATAAACAAAAACAATAATACAGAAGCCTCAACTAGCAACAAAGAGCTTAGTAAACCCTCACAATCACTTAATGACCCCATGGTGAGATTTAACAACTTTCACAAAGTTTCTTTTACTAAAAACTTATTTTTATTTTTATAATTCCATTAGAATTTTGTTGTATCACGCAATATAAACAAATTATTTTGTGCCTGGAAAAAAAGGAACATCTGTGAAGAAAGTATGAGTAAAATTAACTTTAAAAAGAATGTCTGATATTTTTTAAATATTGTATAACATGTAAGTATATTAATCCATTAGGTGTCACCTCTTTTTAAAAAATTTTTTATTAGTGAAACACCATGAGGTACAGTTGTAGACTTACAAATTTTTGTGCTTGGGTTTCAGTTATACAATGATTGAGTATCCATCCCTCCACCAGTGCCCATTCTCCACCACCACTAATCCCAGTATCCCTCCCATCCCCTTTCCCCCAATCCTACCCTGCCTCTGTGGCAGGTCATTCCCTTTTGTTCTCTCTCTCCTTTGGGGTACTGTGGTTGGCAAGAGGGGAATTGAGTGGCAATCATGTTCGGTCTAGAGTCTACTTTCAGCATGCATCTCCCATCTTGGGCGGATCCTCCCAACACCCTTTATTTATATTTATATCTCTATCTGAGCTGCCTTTTCCCCTAGCATGTGCGGCTGGCCTCCACGCCATGGAGTAAACCTCCTGGTACTTATCTTGGCTATTCTTGGGTGTTAGTCTCCTATTTTGTTACTTTATGTTCCCCAGATGAATCCAACCTTTCTATGTCTGTCCCTCTCTTTCTGACTCATTTTACTTAGCATGATACTTTCCATGTAGTACCACTTGTATGTAAATTTCATGACTTCATCTTTTCTAACAGCTACAAAGTATTCCACTGTGTAGATGTACCAAAGTTTCTTCTTCTAAAAGAATGTTTGAAATATGAAGGAAATACTGGGACCCAAACAGTTTAAAAGTGAAGTATATAGGTATATCCTCAACAAATATTCAAGTAGAAGTATTAGAACTCCTATGTTTATGCAGCAGATCCTGCTAGTCTGATGAAAAATGAAATTTGTTATTACTAATCAAATAATTTCCAACTTTAAGATACTTCTATTGGGCTAAGGTTGCGGCTCAGGGGTAAATGACGTGGGTAACTCTAGGACCCTTCCCAACCGCCCCCCCCCCCCCCCCCCGCCACCTCCAGCGCCTACCTGCTGGGCATGACTGCATGCCTCTCCCAGATCCCAGGGATACCCCATATGGATTTCCTTTCCATTTTAACACAACAGAAAAAACTCCAAACCATTACCAAATAAAATAAAATACAAATCTACAGTTCTAGTTCTATAAAGAAAACAACATATGACCCTAGTAAAACACCAGAAAGCTTCATTATATTTATATTTTCCTACCTTGGAGACCTGCATATTTAAGTGATGACCAGTTTGGTATGTTATAGCATCCTCCTCCATCTTCCTGTTCCTCTGATTCACATCGGTAAAGTACCTGGTTCACCTCAGCCAAAGTTAACTTAGAGGCAATACTAAGAATTAGAAAAATACAATTCATAAATACATTGAAAATTTATCAGTAACAATCAAGACAAAAAAATCAGAATATGAGCACAGAATATCTTAGCCATGTATATATGTATCTGTTTATTATTTTGGGGGGCATACCTGGTGGTACTCAAGGCTTACTTCTGGCTCTATTCTCAGGGATCACTCCCAGCAGTGTTCAGGGACCATATTTGGTGCTAGGAATGAACTGGAGTTGGCCCCATGCAAGGCAAGGGTTTCAGCTCCTGAACTATTTCTCTGGTTCCAGCAATGTATATTTTAAAAACCCAGTCTCCCAATATCTTATTTTTTGTGTGTATATGTATATATATAATATCAAATATATATTATATAAGCAGTGGGCTGGAGCAATAGCACAGCAGGTAGGGCGTTTGCCCTGTACATGGCCAACCCGGGTTCAATTCCTCCATCTCTCTCAGAGAGCCAGCAAGCTACTGAGAGTATCCCACCCACACGGCAGAGCCTGGCAAGTTCCCCATGGCGTATTCAATATGCCAAAAACAGTAACAACATGTCTCATAATGGAGATGTTACTGGTGCCCACTCGAGCAAATCGATGAACAAGGGGGGGGGGGGGACAGTGCTACATAAGTAGTATACATACACTGTAAGTAACAAAGGATAAGATATGCTATAAATTCTCTAAAAGCAAAAAATCAAATGGAGCCAAATTTTATCCTTGAAAGTTTGGGTGGGGGGGAGTTGGGAATAGAGAGAGAGAGCACGCGAGCGAGGGGGGGGGAATGGAGAGACAGAGAGAAAGAGAGAGAGGGAGAGAGAAAGAGAGAGGGGGAGGGAGAGAGAGATGGGAATGGAGAGACAGAGAGAAAGGGAGAGAGAGAGGGAGAGAGAAAGGAGAGAGAAAGAGAGAGAGGGAGGGAGAGAATGGGAGAATGGGAGTGAGAGAGAGAAAGAGAGAGAAAGAGAGAGAGAGAGAGAGAGAGAGAGAGAGAGCCTAATGGACTGAGCACATGCTTTGCATGCAGGAGGTCCAGGTTTGGTTTCCAGAGTCTTCTAGCCTCTCCCCCCTCCTCCCTCAAATACTGAGAGATATGACCTGCTAACTCAGACAGGGGTAGCCCTCAGTACCATGTGGGAAGGTTCCAAAGTCAAAAACAAACAAACAAAAGTCTTTGGATTCCTTAGATCCTTTATCCTACTGTGTGTGTGTGTGTGTGTGTGTGTGTGTGTGTGTGTGTGTGTGTGTCCCCACTTTCCTAGGATTAAACCTAGACCTCACACAAAAAGGCAGAAAGGTGATGCAGTACTATTGAGTTATAACCCTGTTCTCATATTTGTTTTCTTTTAACCTTTCTAGTCTGGGCATAGTTTTTAAACCTCCTTTGCATATTCTTCTATGAGACATATTATCTTAAAATATTACCAAAGGACTAATAAAGGAATTGACAAAAGTCACAATAAACAATCAGAGAAGTACTACAGTACTCTTGCCTTTGTACTTCTGTTCTTTTCCCCTCTGAGACTGCATTGTTATTTACCTGGTTAAACATTACTGTGTCAATCACTGTTTCTAAATTTTTTAAGTAATTAATTCTCACAGCTCTAATAGAGAGGCACTTAGCCAAGGTTGTACAGGCTAAGACTCAAACCCAAGTAGCCAGGTTTCATACTTTATACTCTTGTAATTGATACATTACATTATAATAATATATAAATTTGGTAAGGATGTATGGTTGAAAATAATACGATAATCTTTCTGAAAAAGGAGTTAGCAATATTAAAAGCTTGAAATCGACGAACATAGAAATAGTTATTACAAAAACTCTATCTCTGGAAATTTACCCTAGTATTCATGATAGAAAATATACACTGAATCTTATTATGTGCCATACATTAAATTACTATGGTAGGAATTAGTTAGCTTGTTTTTTTTAATTCTTACAAAATATAAGAAATTGTACTATTAGAAGTTCTGTTTTTCCAAGTGAGGAAACAGACAATGAATGTCTAAATGATTTGTCAAACATCACCTTGGCAGGGACTGGAGAGTTTGCACAGGAGGTAATATGCTTACTTTGCATGCAGAACAGCTTAGTTTGAATATCCAGCATGACATATGATCCCTGAACAGTTCATTGCCAGGGATCACTTCTAAGCACATAGCCTTAGCACTCTTGAGTGTGACCCAGAACCACCACCCTTCTCCCCCAAAAAAAGAAAAAGAAAAAGAAAGGAAAAATTCCACACTTGACAGTGCTGTACTGGCATTAAACACAACTCTAAATTTCACAGTATTCTTCAGTACTATGTGGTACCAGCTAGTAACAATGTATACAAACAGGAAAACAGGAATGCATTAAGACATACAGTACAGAGATCAGGAAGCAATCTAAGTGTCCAAAGACAAAGGACCAATATTAAATATATTATAATGTAACTATAATATAGGAATGTAACTATAATATAGGATTGTATGTTGGTATTCAAGAATGATAAGTCAGAGAGTACAGCAGGTAAGGGGCTTGCTGTGCACACCACTGACTGGTTCAAATCCCCGGCCTCGCATATGGTCCCCTGAACTTGCCAGTAGTAATCCTTGAGTACAGAATTGGAGTAATCCCTGAATAGCATCAGGAGCCATATCTGAGCACAAAACCACGAGTGTTACCTGAGTATAACCAGAACTGCCCCCTCTTACCCATGTCCACAAAGGACAAAATAAGGTATTATGCATGCAATTCAGTTTCTAATTAAATAATTAAATTGTTTCTAAATTGATAGTTAAGAAAAATTGTATGCACGTATGTATATACATGTGTGTAGATGCATGCATGTATATATTCACAGAGAGAGTACTTGAATGGGACAGTATACACGTAAATACATGAGCTAGTCATTAAGCAGTAGGGCACAATGTTAATAGCTTCGCTTCTTACTGCTGGTTCTTAAATAGCACATAGCATGTGCAGGAGCCATAAAACTACTTAAACCTGAACAGTGTAACATATCAGTTATTAAAGTGGCAAGTATATACAATAAATAATACTCACGAAGCAAACGGAATTTTTAATATAGGATCGAGGTTCTCTACAGCAAGGCTCCCAGATTTAAAATGAGGACTAAATTGAGTCAGATGATTTCGAAGAATTCCAACAGCAACTTGTGCATGTGGATCAAGACTAACTCTGAAAACATTAATGAAGAAAAAAATTTTTAGAAGTAATTTGTTTGAAATAGACAGGTTATTTGACTTACTTTAATCTACATCAACAGTCAGAGCATACCTGAAGATGATAACACTTCCTGGAGACAAGTTTTCAAATTCTATTTCTTGGATGTATTCATTGGGTCCTTTTGCAGCAACCCCAGCTTGTTTCACAATTTTACTTTCATTAAGCTTCGGAAAAAATACAAAACCACTCAAAAATAATTCTAATTCCTTAAAATGTTCAACATAGCAGGAAGAAGAGAATCCCACATACCTGGATATGTTCTCTAATTTCGACTGTGAGATTTGGCATTCCATTGATTGAACTCTCATCCTTTCTATACAGTTTTGTGTTTCTCTCAACAGTTCGAGCTTCAAGAACTACTTCTTCAATTTTGCCTGGGAATACGTACAATTTTGCACACAATTTACTATAAACCCTCCAAAATTAGGCATTGATGAAGAGGTTTTAAATCATTAAGCATAAGTTTGAATACAAAATATCAATTAAAAATGCAAAACTGGAGTTGCAGAGATATACAGCAGGTAGGGCGCATGTCTTGCATGTGTCTGACCCCTGTTTGATTCCTTGCATCCCACGTGATTCTCTGAGCCAGGAGTGATCCCTGAATGCAGAGCCCGGAGGAAGTCCTGCACACTGCAGTCTGTGTCCCCAAACCAAACAAACAAAGACTCCAAACCAAAATAATCTGAAAACAGGATTCTAAGACATACATTTTTCAGACAAAGGTTTTCTTTTTCTTTTTTTTTTCTTTTTGGGTCACACACAGCAATGCTCAGGGGTTATTCCTGGCTCATACACTCAGGAATTACTCCTGGTGGTGCTCGGAGGATCATATGGGATGCTGGAAATTGATCCCGGGTTGGCCGCATGCAAGGCAAACGCCCTACCCGCTGTGCTATCGCTCCAGTCCCAGTTTTTCTTTTCTTTTTTCTTTTTAAAATCAAAACCTAATAAATAAAGATTTATTTGAGGAGATATCTAATCAAGTAATAAAATGGCTAAGCTTGAGTAAACAATACATAATCCTCCTAATTTTGAACAGAGAATAAGTAAATCACTTGACTTTTACTTTAGAAACGCAAAGTATCAGAAATTCTGAAAGAAAGAAATCACCAAATAAATTCTAATACTCAGATTTAAAAGGATTTAAAAAGTTACAAATACAACTGGAGTTTCTGTATACTCTTGCTTTCCTTTCAGAGGTAATTACCAGCTAGTCTGTCTGTCTATCTATCTATCTATCTATCTATCTATCTATCTATCTATCTATCTTTGTGCCATACCTGGATGTGCTTAGTACTTACTCCTGGCTATATGCTTAGGGAGCACGGCTGGTGGTACTTGAGGGACCATATGTGCTGCAGGGGCTCAAACCAGGGTCAGTCATGTGCAAGGCAAGCATTGCTTTAACTCCTAAACTGTATTTCTGGGCTTCCTCTGGTCTCTTTTACTACATATATGTTGTTTCCCTGAACAACACCTTTTTATCTCTTGTGATGAGTTTTTTTTATTTTTTAATTTAAAATAATTTTTATTTTAATTTTTTAATTATGGGGCTGGAGCGATAGCACAGCGGTAGGGTGTTTGCCTTACAAGCGGCCAACATGGCCGACCCGAGTTCGATTCCTCCGCCCCTCTCGGAGAGCCCGACAAGCTACCGAGAGTATCTCGCCCGCACGGCAGAGCCTGGCAAGCTCCCCATGATGTATTCGATATGCCAGACACAGTAACAACAGTCTCCAATGGAGACGTTACTGGGCCTGCTCAAGCAAATCGACGATCAACGGGAGGGCCTTTATCTTTATCTTTTTATCTTTATTTTAAAGAACTGTAATTTACAAAGTTATTGATAGTTGAGTTTTAGGCAAATGCCATTTCAACACCAGTCCCACCACCAGTGCCACCTTCCCTTCACCAGATAACACCAATTTTTTTTTGTTTGCTTTGTTTTTATGCTACACCTGGCTGTGCTCAGGACTTACTCCTGTGCTCACCACTGCTGGTGGTGCTTGGGAAACACATGGAGTGCGAGCGGATCTACTAGGTGGACTACTTGCAAAATAAGTGACTTATCGACTTACCCCCGTTCTATCTCTCCAGCCCTCAATTGAAGGAGTGTGAATCATAGTGAGCACTGTGGTTATGGCAAGCACCAAAACCAAATGTGTGAGCACACAACCAAGTGTTTATGAAAAGTCCCATGTCATCACAATAACATATGTCAACAGAGGGGAGAGGAGTAGGGGAAAATGTTGACATTTAGAATATTTATGTCCAGGGTTTGTTCCATTGGTTTAAAAAAACGTCACCCCAAATTGTTAGTTCTCTTCTTAACTACATCTGCACTTACAATTTATTATTACAGATGATATACAATAGTCTACTGTGACAAAGTTTAATAGAGCAATATATTATAATCACAGTAATAATCTTTTATTTTTGGAACACAACCAGTGGTACTCAGGGCTTACTCCTGACGGTGTGCTCAGGGATCACTCCTGGTCGACTTAGGTAACCAAATGGAGTGCAGGGGACTGAATCCATGTCAGCTGTATGCAAGGCAAGTGCTTTAACCACAATACTATTACTTTGGCCCCTCAGCAATAATTTTTAAATTGAATTACCAGGGATGTACATTTGAGGAACTTCCTTGCTGTAAAATGAAGTTTTGGGATTCCTGAAAGCAGTTCTAGACACAGCCACAACAGACTGATGGCTACTAGGTGAATGTCTTGTTACTGCTACTATGTCTTCATCAACCTGATCCACAAAAACCTGAGAAGCAGAAAAAGAAAGAAAGGTCAGTGCTTAAACTGCAAATATTTACTCTAAAATTGAACTATAAAAAGAAACTGAGGGGCTGGAGCAATAGCACAGCGGGTAGGGCATTTGCCTTGCACGCAGCTGACCTAGGTTCAATTCCCAGCATCCCATACGGTCACCTGAGCACCGCCAGGAATAATTCCTGAGTGCATGAACCAGGAGTAACTCCTGTGCATCGCCGAGTGTGACCCGAAAAGGAAAAAAAAAGAAAGAAACTGAATATGACCCGAGTTCAATCCCTCATATGTTCCCCCAAGCACCACCAGGAGTAATTCCTGAGAGCAGAGCCAGGAGTAACTCCTGAGCATCACTGGGTGTGACCCAAAAAAGCCAAAAAAAAAAAAAGGAAAAAGAAAAATGAGAAGAAAATGTGAGGTTGAGCAAGGAAAGTCTCTTCAATAAGTGGTGCCGGGAGAATTGGACAGCTACATGCAAAAAAAAAATGAACTCAGACCTCTGTCTAATGCCAGGCACAAAAGTCAGACCAAAATTAATTAAAAATCTCAATATCAAATATAATTAAATATAATTAAAGACCTCAAATATAATTAAAGACCTATTGTTCATCGATTTTCTCGAGCGGGCGCCAGTGATGTCTCCATTTGTCCCTGTCACATGCTAGTGTAGCCCAATGGCATACTGGGGGCTCTTTCCGGGTTAGAGAAATTAGGACCATCATTGTTACTGTTTTTGGCATATCAAGTACACCATATCCATAAGGTAATGAAGGAAAATGTAGACAGAACCCTCCATGACACTGGAGTTAAAGGCAACTTTAAAGATGAAACACCACTTTCACGGTATGACCGAGACTTAAACCCGAAAGCTTTGTAACTACTCTCATGGTGATTCAATAAATAAGATTATAAAAAATGGAAAAAAAAGTAAGGTGGAGTTCATGCACAATTCAATCAGTCTAATCAGTGGCTAAATAAATTGCAGTACTCCTACATAAAAAAAAGATGAACCACCACTAATCAAACAAGTGGAAGCAAAGATAAACAAATGCATTGTAGCACTGTAGCACTGTCGTCCTGTTGTTTATTGATTTGCTTGAGTGGGCTCCAGTAACATCTCCATTCGTCCCTGTCTGCTTGCTCCAGGAACACAAAATGAGATTTGTTGTTACTGTTTTTGGCATATTAAATACAACACGGGGAGCTTGCCAGGCTCTGCCGTGTGGGCGGGATACTTTCGGTAGCTTGCCAGCTCTCTGAGAGGGAAAGAGGAATCCAACCCAGGTCGGCCGCATGAAAAACAAATACCCTACACGCTCCAGCCCAAATGCAATGAACAAAAAGCAAACATTAACCTAAAAAGCTTCTAAACTTCAAAAGAAATGGTGACCAAGGTACAGAGACAGCCCATGAAAGGGGAAATTGTTTTACCCAATAACCATCAGATAAGGGATTAATATCTGATGGTTAGGGATATTAACCCAAGATATATAAGGCACAGACAGAACTTTATAAGAAAAAACCTCCAACTCCATCAAAAAATGGAGAGAAGACATGAATAGAAATGTCCTCAAAGAAGAAATACAAATGACTAAAAGGCACATGAAAAAAAGCTCTACATTCCTAATCATCAAAGAGATGCAAATCAAAACAACAATGAGATATCATCTTATACCACATAGACTGACACACATCAAAATGAATAAGAATAACCAGTGCTGGTGTGGATGCAGAGAGAAAGAGAATCTCATTCATTGTTGGTGGGAATATGCCAACTGTTCCAGCATTCTGGAAAACAATATGGGCACTCCTCAAAAAACTAGAAATTGACCCTGTTAGGATAACCATAAAGTAAAGTAAAGTAAAGGCCCTCCCGTTGATCGTCGATTTGCTCGAGCGGGCCCAGTAACGTCTCCATTGGAGACTTTGTTGTTACTGTGTCTGGCATATTGAATACGTCATGGGGAGCTTGCCAGGCTCTGCCGTGCGGGCGAGATACTCTCGGTAGCTTGCCGGGCTCTCCGAGAGGAGCGGAGGAATCAAACTTGGGTCGGCCATGTTGGCTGCATGCAAGGCAAATGCCCTACCGCTGTGCTATCGCTCCAGCCCTAGGATAACCATGATATTCTTCAAAGAAATGGAGCAAACACTCCTGAAATTTATATGGAACAATAAGCCCCCATGAATAGCTAAAGCAATTCTTGGGAAAAAGAAAATGGGAGGAATCAGCCTCCCTAACCTCAAACGTTACTACAAAGCAGTAATACTTAAAACAGCATGGTACTGGAACAAAGGCAGAGCAATAGACCAATGGAACAAGGTTGAATATACCGACATCTCCCCCCAAGCATATGATCATCTAATATTTGATAAGGAGGCAAGAAAAGTGAAGTGGAGTAAGGAAAGCCTCTTTAACAAATTGTGCTGGCAAAACTGGATGGCTACATGCAAAAAAATGGGCTCAGATCTCTGCCTAATGCCATGTACAAAAGTAAGATCAAAGTGGATTAAAGATCTTAACATCAGACCAGAATCCATAAGGTACATTGAAGAAAAAGTTGGCAAAACCCTCCATGACATTGAAGCTAACGGTATCTTCAAAGATGTCACGCCACTGGCCAAGCAAATGAAAACAGAGATAGACAAATGGGACTATCTTAAACTAAGAAGCTTCTGCACCTCCAAAGAAACAGTGACCAAAATACAAAGACAGTCTACAGAATGGGAAAGGATATTCACCGAATACACATCTGACAAGGGGTTGATATCCAGGATATACAAAATACTGGTTGAACTCCACAAGAAGAAAACATCCAACCCCATCAAAAAATGGGGCGATGAAATGAACAGAAAATTTCTCAAAGAAGAAATCTGAATGGCAAAAAGGCACATGAGAAAATGCTCTACATCATTAATCATCAGGGAGATGCAGATCAAAACCACAATGAGATACCATCTCACACCTCACAGACTGGCCCACCTCCAAAAGAACAAACGCAACCGGTGCTGGCGTGGATGTGGCAAAAAGAGACCCTCCTTCACTGCTGGTGGGAATGCCGACTGGTTCAGCCCTTTTGGAAAATAGTATGGACGATTCTCAAAAAATTAGAAATTGAACTCCCATTTGACCCAGCAATACCACTCCTGGGATTATATCCCAGAGAGGCAAAAAAGTATAGTCGAAGTGACATCTGCACTTGTTTGTTCATTGCAGCACTCTTTACAATAGCCAGAATCTGGAAAAAATCTGAGTGCCCGAGAACAGATGACTGGTTAAAGAAACTGTGGCAGATCTATACAATGGAGTACTATGTAGCTGTTAGAAAAAGATGGCCCTCCCGTTGATCATCGATTTGCTCGAGCGGGCCCAGTAACGTCTCCATTGGAGACTTTGTTGTTACTGTGTCTGGCATATCGAATACTCTCGGTAGCTCGCCGGGCTCTCTGAGAGGGGCGGAGGAATTGAACTCGGGTTGGCCATGTTGGCTGCGTGCAAGGCAGACGCCCTACCCTGGAGGGCTGGAGCAATAGCACAGTGGGTAGAGCGTCTGCGTTGCACGCAGCCAACATGGCCAACCCGAGTTCGATTCCTCCGCCCCTCTCGGAGAGCCCGGCGAGCTACCGAGAGTATTCGATATGCCAGACACAGTAACAACAAAGTCTCCAATGGAGACGTTACTGGGCCTGCTCGAGAAAAAGATGAAGTTCTGAAATTTACATACAAGCCGTACTACATGGAAAGTATCATGTTAAAGCGAAATGAGTCAGAAAGAGAGGGACAAACATAGGAAGACTGCATTCATCTGGGGAACATAAAGTAACAAAATAGGAGACTAACACCCAAGAGTGGCCGAGATTAGTACCAGGAATTTTGCTCCATGGCTTGGAGGCCAGCCACACATGCTAGGGGGAAAGGAAACTCAGAGAGAGAAGGGAGCACCAAATAAAGGGTGTTGGGAGGGTCCTCCCAGGATGGGAGAAGCATGCTGAAAGTAGACTAGCGACCAAACATGATTGCCACTCAATGACTCTTTTGCAAACCACAACACCCAAAAGGAGAGAGAGAACAGAGGGGAATGCCCTGCCACAGAAGCAGGGTGGGATGGGGGGGAGGGGTGGGGAGGAGGGATACTGGGATCCGTGGTGGTGGAAAATGGGCACTGGTGGAGGGATGGGTATTTGATCATTGTATAATTGAAACCCAAGCACAAAATTTGTAAGTCTACAACTGTACCTCATGGTGCCTCACTGATAAAAAAAAAAAAAAAAGAATTGCCAGGAAAAAAAAATAAAACTAGAAATTGAGCTTCCATATGACCCAGTAATACCAACTGTGGGAATATACCCCCGGGATAGATAAGGGACCATTATGACAATGATGATTGGAAGGGATCATTCTGGGTGGGAGATGTGTGCTGTAAGTGAGTAAAGAAATAAACATGATGGCCTCTCAGTATTGTATTGCAAATCATAATAGGGAGGGAGGGAGGGAGAGAGAGAGAGACAGAGAGAGAGAGAGAGAGAGAGAGAGAGAGGAAGGGAGGGGGAGGGAGGGAGGAAAGAAGGGAGGGAGGGAGAGTGCCTGCCATTTACGTAGGCTGGGGGAGGGGGTGGTGGCAGAAGAGATACTATGGGAAATGTACACTGGTGGAGAGATGGGTGTTGGAACAGTGTATGAGTAAAACCTGATCACCAAAGCTTTGTAACTATATCTCGTGGTGATTCAATAAATAAATTTTTTTAATTATTTTCATAGAGGAAAATAAAAAACTTTTAAAATCAAACAAAAGAAACTGAGAGGGCCGAAGAAAGTACTGCCTGTAGGACACTTGCCTTGCATGCGGGCAACAGAGGTTTGATATCTGGCATCCCGTATGGTCCCTAAACCTCACCAGAAGTGGTCCCCTAGTGCGGAGCTAGTAGTATGCACTGAACACTGTCTGGTATGGTGCCCTCCCCATAGAAAAAACAGCCTCTCAAAGAAAAGAAACAAAACAAAATATAAATTTAAAAAGAAATTAAGAAAATTTTATTTCTTGCCTGAATAAAACCATTGGCCCCAAGTTCTTGATGAAGTTTGTTGATAGCACGCCTGGCTGCAATAATACCACTTTGAAAATTAACTTCTCCAGAATTTGATGGCGAAGCTCCAGGATTCCACTTAGTGTAAAACCGCTCCTCAGAAACCACTGAAATCTAAACAAAGTTAAAACTTAGCCATGTAACACAAAAACATCAATTCAGAAGGACATAAGCACACCTATATTCACTGCTGCACTTAGTACAATAGCCAAGATTTGGAAACAATCTCAATGCCCAGCTATAGGTGAATGGGTCAATAATTTGTAGTATACAGAATGGGAAAAACCAAGATCATGCAATTTTCAGTAGCATGGATGGAACTGGAAGGTATCATACTGAGTAAAGTCAGTCAGAAGGAAAGGAATAGATGTAGAATGATCTCTCATAGTAGGGACTTAAAGATACACGGCAAAGGAAGCAACAAAGGCTCAAGGCAACATATTGGGAGATCTGATCCATACAACTGAGTGAGGGGGAGCTTGGAAGGGAGGAGTTTCTTGGGGAAAGGAATGTTTCCTTTCCTCAGGTTTCTTGGGGAAAGGAAGGGGCACTTGGGTCCTTGGGGGATGGAGGGATGCATTGGTAATTGCTATAGTATTTAAAATATGTGCATTATGGTGGAGGGATGGGTATTTGATCATTGTATAATTGAAATCCAAGCACAAAAATTTGTAAGTCTACAGCTGTACCTCACAGTGTTTCACTAATAAAAATTTAAAAAATAATTTCACTGTTAAGCCTGATGTCAATATGGTTCTTAAATATAACCTTTTTTTTTAATAATTTATTTATTTATTGAATCACTGTGGGAAAAGTTACAGAGCTTTCGGGTTTAGGTCTCAGTCATGTAAATATCAAACACATTTCCCTTTACCAATACTTATTTTTAACCCCGAACCCCAATAGACCCCCACCTCCCACCCCTCCCAATTCTTGTGAGGCAGATGAGTTCTAGTTAATACTCTATCTACTTTGACTAGATAGATTGTTTTGATAGAAGATGCACAATTATTGTTTAGAGTTTACGACCCACCCCCCACAATCAGATATGCTGAAACAGCGTTGTGAAATGATTTGCTTTCTACAACTTGGTTTAAGAATAAAATGATGTCGCGCGGCCGCTATTGCAGCCGCGTGGTTTTGGATTTCTGCTATTTTACTTATTAACCCTGGAAGAATTTCTATTAAAAGTTAGATAGTTAAGAGATTGGTTTCTGTGCCCTGGAGTCGTGGCCGTGCCGGAGAGCCGCTCGTGGGGGGCAGCTGGCGACCTCGGTGGGGCGTGGGGGACGGCCCACAAAGCCCCACTTCCCATGAGGTCCCTGCAGCTCCCGCCGAGCCCGGCTCAAACCTGCTGTCCACAAGGCTCCCGTGCGGCCGCCATCTTTCTTTCCAGAGAGGAGCGGGCGGGCCGGTCAACACCCTTTCCCCTCCAGGCAGGCTTGGTGGCGCGGTTTAACACATAGTCCATTTGCTTTTCTGCTCCAAGCGGCTGGTTCTCTGTGCTAAGTCCTTGTGCCTCCGGGGCCATGGCCGTGCCGGAGAGCCGCTCGTGGGGGGGCAGCTGGTGACCTCGGTGGGGCGTGGGGGACGGCCCACAAAGCCCCCCTTCCCATGAGGTCCCCGCCACTCCCGCCGAGCCCGGCTCAAACCTGCTGTCCACAAGGCTCCCGTGCGGCCGCCATCTTTCTTTCCAGAGAGCTTAAATATAACCTTTGATGTACATTTATTCTATACCTAACTCATTGCAAGATTTTTAATCAATAAAAGATGTTAAATCGTAAAAAATATGAGCATTATAATAGCATTGTAAACAACAGACCACCTATTAATATTTAAAAACTTTTAGCAGCATATGCTTTTTAATTACAAGGTGAACTTGGATACTATGAAACATACAAAGTGGCCAGTGTTGTAAAATTTACTAAGTAGCCTCATCCATTAGGGAATCTGCTCAAAAACCCAGGTATGTGGAACTTGTGACTGAAATCTCCAGGCTCTCATGGAGTTGGGAATGGGTGACCTCCCCTCTGTCTCCCTGTGCTTCTGGTAGCCTGTCAGTCATGCCCAGGGGCTGCCTCTGGTGCCATCTAAGCTAATTAAAGGCCATGATACAGAGATGCACAAATAAAGCTTTTGGAAGGGAGAAATACAGAATGATACACCAGAGAGTAGTTTCTGGGCCCCGGAGTCACCATTTAGTTAAAAAAAAAAGTAAATTAACCTCAGCTGTATATTTTATATATTTAAAAATTTAGAATTCCTGGAGCATGCAGCTGCATTTCTGGCCACATGACATTTTATGTGTTGGTAATCTCTTATACAAGAGCTTACTGGCTCCAGGGTGAGACACAACTATCTTCACACACTTTCTTTTAAGGAAACTTTTTTGGATCATTTTTAGTAGATTATTCAAAACAAGCAATACAAAATAAATTATTTAGATCCGACTCTGGGGAGAGGGTTTGGAGGTTAGGTGGAAACATTTGAAATATGGAGGTAGATAAGTGCAATGGTGATGGATTGGTGTTGGAATATTAAGTGTAACAAACTGTTTTGGACAACTTTATAAAAATGAAAAAATTACAGGATAGCACAAACACACCTGGTGAGGCACGAGTTCATCATAGCCCCTAGTACTCCCACTAGCACAGCAGGCCATAGAAACGACTGCAGAACTCGGGAGAGCGTCATGTGCTGACCTATGCTGGAAAAGAGCCAAAGGACACAAGAGTTTACTTCTTTCAAGAGCAACCTGAGCACCTGATGGCGTAATAAATTAAAGGGATAATTATATAAATACATTCTATAAGATACAGTGTTTGTTTTAAAACAAGAGATAAGACATTCAGAAAATGATGTACTACACAATCACTAACAAAAATAGAAGGTACTGTTCTGAAGTATGTGAATATTATTGTCACTATCAGAAAATTAAATACCATGATTGGCAAAATGAATGTCAGAAACAGATGACATGCTTACCACAATAGGACACTCGTTGTCGTGGGTGATATCCATAAATAGGGCATGCGCAATAGCTGGCATTAATGGTCTCAGCGAGGGCTGGGCAAAGGAACCAACAGGTTCTCCTCCATATCGGTAAACCAACCTGCCCTCTTCGTGACTGTTATATGCACTCATCGCCTCTACAAAGTATGAGAAAATATTTTAACAAACTTCATTGTTAATGCCCAAGGCTTCTTATCATCAGTGACTTAAAGACACAAATATTGGTGTTTCCCCTCGAGCTCTTACTCCCCAAGCATGCAATAATGTTTGCTCTTTGCTACTTTCTCTTTTTCTTAAATATTTTATTTTATGCTCTCCCAAATCATAAATGTTATCACAAATAAAACAATACAAAAAATTTCCATTTACTCATTAGTCTAAAAACAAACCTATTTATTTATGTGACAAAAAATTTTTCTGTAACTTAACTATAGGTATTAACTCACAAAGGTAATAAGAAATACCTGGTTGTTGGGATCACATTATATAAAAATCTATGGGAAAGATATAAAGATTACATCATATATCCAAGCAGGAGATATAAAGCAGGTGAAAATAGTTTCTCCTTTTTGGGGGTGAAGCTATACCTAGAGTTGCCTGGGGGTTGCTTCTGGCAGCTACAGTTTTGGGGGGACTGTTAAAACTGGGCTTCCACATGCATGACCCTAGCTTTTTGTACTATCTCCTTCTCAGATTTATATATTTGCAACAACAGCAAGAATACTTTTCGTCACGAGTCATCAATTCATTACATTTGTCTTTCAACTTAAAATAAATCATGCCATGGTGGAAAAAACATTACTAATAACAGACTGAGTTATATTAGAAAAATTGTGTACAATATTTAAAAGACATGGGGCTGGAGTAATAGCACAGCGAGTAGGGCGTTTGCCTTGCACACAGCCAACCCGGGTTCGATTCCCAGCATCCCATATGGTCCCCCGAGCACCGCCAGGAGTAATTCCTGAGTGCATGAGCCAGGAGTAACCCCTATGCATCGCCAGGTGTGGCTCCCCCCCCAAAAAAAGAAAAAAAAAGACATGACATGTCAATAATTACTATTTAGTATACGTAAAACTATTAAACTTGTAATCTTAAAAGTTAGGGTTTAGGAAGAAAATATGTTTCAACAAGCTTACCTCTGATTAAAGAACTAATGCCCAGTCTAGTGACAAAGATGTTGTCCAACTCTTCACTTCCTGTGAACAGTTCAGCTACTACATATAAATTGGGTTGCAATTTTCTTGCAGCATCCAACATGTACTGCAAAAAGTACAGTCACAAATGTAACAGAAAGAGAAAAGCAAAGTGGGAGGTGGGGAAGGAGAGGAGGCAAGACTAGGCATAGATTTGACACAGGAAAATTTCATGTGGCAAGACAAAATGGAAATCCAAGAATTTCCAAATAAATACAACTCACATATTTAAGAAAAATAAAGCAGACCCATACACACAAGAAACAAAAGAATTCATAAAGAGAATAAAATAGTTTAAAGAAAAATCATATTTGCAAAGATGTAGGCACACAAGGGAGGAAAAAATAGAAAGAAAAAAATGTTAGTGTCATTTAGAAAATGAAATTTTTTTTAGTTTTCTATAATTTTTCTAGGTTTCCTGCTATATTATATGTAGTTTGTTTGTAAATTATCTAATATCACTATTAAGTAACAAACAGCTAAGCCATTATTGATAAATTTACTGCTGGTGAATTCATTTAGGTACTACAAAAATTAAGTCTGAATGACTAGAACTCATCCTCTCAATAGAATATTACTCTAAAATAAGAAAGGTTCAAAAATAATTCTTAACATCAAGTTTGGACAAACCCTAATAAAATATTTGACATCTAAGCTGCTAACAGGTAGGTTCCTAAAGGATTGTGTAACTTAAAGTTAAGCAAAGTTAAGTTTTAGTATTGTTTGCTATATATTAAAACAATTATATATATACATATATATTTGCTTTCACTAAAGTTGCATGTGCATGCATGCACACACACGCACACACACATACACACTTTAGGCCTCTGCCATTTTGGGAAACTAAAAATGCTCTTCCACTTTAATTTTAATTCTTTAATTCAAATAAATTTTTTCCAGACAATTTGAACCATACATATATGATATATGTGCCACAGAAAGAGTACAGTGGGTTAGGTGTTGGCTTTGCATGCTGCCAACCCAGGTTCAGTCTCTAGCACCAAAAACGGATACCCTGAACTCTGCCAGGAGTGAGCCCTGAGCACTGCCGGATCTGGCCACAAAACAAAACAAAAAACCCAAATCCAAAATTCAAACAAAAACAAAACAAACTGGAAAAAATATCACTATTAAACACTCAATATACCATAACTATTGCATTAAAAGAGTCTATCGGAACCATGCAAACAATGCATGTGTTAAATACCACTACCAAGTCAATGCAGTGTCCAACTAGCAATTGGAAATGATTTATTATGCTTTAAAGTGAATTATGAAAGAACAGCCAATTTCATAATGTACATAATTTGTTTTATCTGTACCTCAGCTACATGAAGTGGTGTTGAATGGCAGTTGTCAAGACGTACTCCCTGGAAATAATTTGCTGTTATTTCAGTGTATTTTTTCATATGTTCCCAGAGGTAAGGACAATCCTCTGGTTTATTTCCATAGCGTAACTTAACGCTGTCTCCCCAGCAAATAAGTTCTCTTCTTAGATAAACTTCTGAACCTGTTAAGAAAGGAGTTTGCTTATAATCATTCCAGAAATAAAATAAAAACAATTACTTCCATTCAGTTAATTACTTCAATAAAAGAAATAATTGTTTTTAAATCACAAAAGAATTTCTACCACAAACAATATTGGTTAAAATTATATTTAAAAATTATTTCTAATATGGTTAGAGGAAATTTTTTTTATACCACGAATGTTCTGTTAAAATTCTGCCATGGAGATCAGTACGAGGAGGATTACTCCATGGCTTAGAGGCCAGCCGGGCATTCTAGGGGAAAGGGCAGCTCAGATAGAGAAGGGAGCACCAAATAAAGGGTGTTGGGAGGATCCTCCCAGGATGGGAGAAGCATGCTGAAAGACTACAGACCAAACATGATTGCCACTCAATGCCTCTTTTGCAAACCACAACACCCAAAAGGAGAGAGAGAACAAAAGGGAAGGACCTGCCACAGAGGCAGGGTGGGATGGGGGATATGGGGGTGGGAGGGATACTGGGATCAGTGGTGGTGGGAAATGGGTGGAGGGATGGATATTTGATCATTGTATAATCGAAACCCAAGCACAAAAATTTGTAAGACTACAACTGTACCTTATGGTGTTTCACTAATAAAAAAAAATTCTGCCATCGTCTCTTGTAAAGATGTGCGCTTAATGTCAAAATTCAAGTTAAGGTAATAGTAATGAAAACAACAAAGCTATGGCAGAGAGCAGAATGGCTTTTACATTTAGCATGTTGAGAAAGGAGAGAGAAGAGATATCTGAATTCAAGCCATGTTCTTATAAAAAGTGAGGTTTCTGAATTAAATTTAATGGCAATAGAACAAATTTCTAGTATTTTAGTGTTGAAAACTTAACACATTTATGGGTCTCATGAAAAATTCTTCCTGGCCATGAAAAACCATATTTTTCATGATTATGTAAAATATGTGGTTCCAGGGATTGAACCCAGGTTGGCAGCATGCAAAGTAAGCATATTATTATTCATATTCATACTATTATTCATATTTTTCATGTCTAGGATTAAGTAAAAAGAAACCTAAAAGCAATTGGTTCCGACTGTAACTGCCATTCAAATAACCCGTCTGGCCAATTAATAAAAATAAAAATTAATAAAAATATCTCTTGTATGGGGCTGGCGCGATAGCACAGCGGGTAGGGCATTTGCCTTGTACGCGGCTGACCCGGGTTCGATTCCCAGCATCCCATATGGTCTCCTGAGCACCGCCAGGAGTAATTCCTGAGTGCACGAGGCAGGAGTAACCCCTGTGCATTGCCAGGTGTCACCCAAAGAGCAAAAAAAAAAAAATTTCTCTTGTACAATATAATTGTAATAGCAGATATTTTCAACTTCTTTTTTTTTTTTTTTTTTGGTTTTGGGGCCACATCTGGTGGTGCTCAGGGACTAATCCTGGCTTAGTGCTCTGGAGCAGCAATGAGGGCAAAACCAGATCAGTCATCACAGCTGCGTGCAAGGGAAGTGCCTTATCTCTTGTACAACTGATATGGTTCCTAAAATCATTTTATAAAGATGAGGGGAGAGCAGACAGGACAGGGAAGGGACTGCTGTGGCAATAATAATGGTAAGTGGTCACTCTGGACAAGAAACTGGGTGCTGAAAGAAGATAAAGAGATATGTGTGGTACACTTTCAATAACATAATTATAAATCAAAGTGCCTAAAAGGAAAAGAGGAAAAAGAAAAGTGTTTGCCATAGCGGCAGGCTGGAGGGGGCGGAGCAGGAGGGAAATTGGGACACTGGTGGAGGGGTGGTTGCTTGAACACCACATGCGTGCAACTCAATCATAAAAAACTATGTAGCTTTGTATCTCACAGTAATTCAATAAATTAAAATACAGTTATTCTGTTTGAGGAGATAAAGGAAAGGAGAACGGAGAAAACAAATACTATGCTATCTTTCAATCTCTTCTCTATCTCCAAATTATATACAGTTCTTATACTTCAGTGCGTGTCATATATTCTTCTTTTCCTACTCATAAATAAATTAGTGAAAATGACATACCTGGTTCAGCAAAGTTTCGAAGAGGATCATCTCCCATTACCCACCCATTGTGTGCCATCAGAAAACAGGCTTTATTTGGAATATGAATCAAAGATTCTTCTGCAGAAAGGGTCATCTCTTCAAAAGGGAAAGTAAAATATCTATAAAGACATGATTAAGTATTATACACATATTAACTTCTTGAAAGAGAATTTGAATTATCACTATTAAAATTAATATTAAACTTCTTCCCTAACAATGGAATAAAAAAATTAGTTTGTTGTCATTTATTTAAAAAACAAACTAATACAGATAAAAAATTATCAATGGACTTTATTAAATATAGTAGGATTTGCAGGATGGAAATTAGCTTTGAGTACATCCAGTTAACATTAATATTCAGTTGACATTTTAAATAGTACTTAAAAATCTTATATTATAACTAATTACTAAGATGTTACCTTCCAAAGGTAGATAACTATACTTTTACTATACTTCAGTTGTCTAAGCTGTACTACTTATAAAGGTGATAAATGCTCAATTTCATGGATGTTGAGCTTTTATTCAGTATACAGTCCTTCAGAAACAATGGATACAATTGTACATTGGTTCATGTGATGATAGTTTCCCTAAGCATCTGCCTAACAAAAGGTAAAGGTAAAGTCCCTCCCGTTGATCGTCGATTTGCTCGAGCAGGCCCAGTAACGTCTCCATTGGAGACTTTGTTGTTACTGTGTCTGGCATATCGAATACTCTCAGTAGCTTGCCGGGCTCTCCGAGAGGGGCGGAGGAATCGAACTCGGGTCGGCCATGTTGGCCGCTTGTAAGGCAAACGCCCTACCCGCTGTGCTATCGCTCTACCCCTTTGCCTAACAAAATGAATTAATATTAAGTTTTATTGTCAAATAAAAAGTCCTATTTCAATTCTGCAAACTTATAAGTCACTTTTTTTTTTTTTTGGCTACACCCAGCTTACTTCTGGCTTGGTGCTCAGGGATCCCTCCTGGAGGGCTTGAGGGACTAGATGAGGTTTTGAGGACTGAACCCTGGTCAGCCACAAGCAAGGCAGGAGCCCGACCTACTGTATTGGACTTTTTGGCCCAAAGGTCACATATTAAGGGGAAAATGTGGATTAATTTGAAAATACAATGTTCAGTTCTTAACCTTTAATGAAATGAAAACAAAATGGAATACCTCGTAACTAACGGATCTTTTCTTGTGACAGGTCCGAGTTTAGGACCATGGCCAGCTAGTCGCTCATAAAACACATTTCCCAAAAGGCAATTCACTGCCTAGGAAACATGAAGTGTTACGTCATCATCATCTTCATCATCATCAACAACAACAATGACAAAATCCAAAAGAAAACATACATTCAAAAATGGGTCAAACCTGTTCCTGATGATAGTTCATGACTTTACGCTTCTCTGAGTTTAACTCCTCAATTCTCTGACGGAACCAGTTACAGCATTCTTCAATGGCAGCTGGTCCACTGCTACAGCAGATAGAACAATACAATTTTAGTTTAGTTTTTTTTTTTTTACAAATTATACATCTAGTAATTTTTTAATAAAGGTCATATAAACTTAATTTATTTTCTTTTTTGGGGTTGACAACCAGGCGGCTCACTCCTGGCAGTGTTACAGGTAAGATGTGGTGCCAGGAACTGAACCAGGTTGGCAGCACGCACGGCAGGCATCCTCCCCAGCCACCACAGTATCTCTCAGTCCCCCACAGAAACTATAAATTCAGCTATCAGTACCTCAATTACGGTAAGGAAGTTCTCAAATTGTAAAAACTTTAAATGCATGTCTAAGAACTTGGACTAACATATGACAAAGAGAAAATGTCAGGAGTTTGAAACAGTAGACTCTCTGGTAAGTCACTTCATTTTCTACTCAGGCTCTGAATCAACATTGTAAACATATACTAAACACAAAGATTTACAAGTAATAATCTTATTTATTTACATGAAAAATAGATGACATACTCATGTGGTATGAAAGTCGCAAGTGCAATGTTCATATCTACAGTACAGCCGAGCCGTCTATACTGGGGATCCTGAATTATCTGAAGGTGTTGCCCTGGATCAGGCTTGGATGCTATTGTCCTATTTCCTAAAAGAAAAAGAAGATGATATTTTAAGTGCAAACATCTCAGAGAGAAACTATAGTTATTACTATTCCTCAATTATTTGTCTTCATTTTTTTCAGACAGAAAGACAAGTATTAGTTCACAAGCTTTCTTCCTAATTCTTCCTCCATCCTCCTCTACACACACACACACACACACACACACACACACACACACACACACACACACACACATGCACACCACACACACAAACTGAGACGAGGAAAAGGGAAAGAGAAAGATAGACCAATTGAACAATGGAGATAAAAGAACACAGAAGAAAAGCTCAGGCATTCTTACCAGTTCAATCCCAGTCTCACTTTTCAGCCTGAGCTAGCACTTATTATTCTATATATTCTTTAGTACCTTGAGGATGTTTAGTGGTACACATTCTCTTTTAATTGATGTGCCCAAGTAGGAACTAATTTTTTAATTTTGCCTCAAGTTGCATTTATTTAAACTGAACTTTATCCAGAACCTGACTTGCTATGAAAGAGGCAAACTGGCCTGATTTTTATATATTCTCCTTTTCATTAAATAGTACATTCTTTGAAAAGTAATTAAAAAAGTAATGATATGTAGGAGAAATTTTTATTCTTCTTTTAGGAACTTGTTTATTTGGGAGGTCACCCTTATCTGGATTATTTCAGAGACTTTGAAATGGTTTATAAAAGCAAGATAAAATCGAATAAAATACAAAATCTTAAAATCTAGTATCTGCAGTTCTTATGGACGAGTATAAAAATGAAAAGCTTTCCAGGAGACTTAAAAAAAGAGAAAAGGCTATGTAATCAATGTAAAGCATAAAAGTGTTAATTAATAGTCAAATAAAGGACAGACAAATCACTAGACTAGCAGAGATGAATTTATACTTAGTATATGATTACACCCTCTGCCCCTCTTGGAGAGCCCAGCAAGCTATGGAGAGTATTCTGCCCGCAGGGCAGGGTCTGGAAAGCTCCCTGTGACGTATTTGATATGCCCCAAACAACAAGTCTCACAATGGAGACGTTACTGGTGGCCGCTCGAACAAATGGATGACAATGGGAGGACAGTGACAGTGAAAGTGATATGATCACACACTATGAAATATTATGCTAGAACTGGAAAGCAGTGTAAAAAGATTGTTTATAACTAAATATCATTTAAAAATAAGGTCACCTATATGTTTATATATATAACACAACAACAGATTCTGGGAATGTTAAAAGTAAAACGTGGGGCTGGAGCAATAGCATAGTGGGTAGGGTGTTTTCCTTGCACGAGGAAGACCCGGGTTCAATTCCCAGCATCCCATATGGTCCCCTGAGCACTGCCAGGAGTAATTCCTAAGTGCAGAGCCAGGAGTAACCCCTGTGTATTTCCGGGTATGACCCCAAAAGCTAAGAAAAAAAAGTAAAATGTAAAACACAAAATTATTAGGAGAAAACATAGAGGAAGGTTTTTCTAAGCATGATATAAATAAAATCAGTAGTCATGAAAGAAAAGAAGAACACATTTGACTACATTAAAAATGCTTTGAGCCGGAGAGAGCTCAATGGGCTGAGCACATGCTTTGCATGAGGAAGGGGCAGGTTTATCCCCGTACTGCATGGCCGTGAACACTGCCAGGGGTAACACAGCACAGAGTTGGGAACAGCTCCTGAGCACTCCTGGATATGGCCTTAAAAGACAGCTTTATCACAAAAAAATTTGGAAGATCAAAAGCAACACAGTACATCTAAGTGAAGATGAAAAAACTAATACCAACAACTATAATCAATATATTTTTAAGAGTCCACAATTTTCTAACGAAAAAGCACATTAATAAGAAATTGATGGAATAAATTAAATGGACAGCTAGCCAGTGAAAATACATTTAGCTAATAAAAGTTAAAGAATATTTACCCGATTGCCAAAACTTATAAAAATCAGTGATACCTATTGTTGGTGAGGGTATAGACTTAGTGAACTGATACATATTTTATTAGAAAGCTGTTTGGTCAAGGCTAAGGCCCAAGAAGATGGTGCTGTTTGGTCAGTGTGGTGCCGAGGAATCCCTCGGCCATCCCAAGAGAGCTGGGAGGACTCCAGGACAGCTCTGGGGATGTCTGGGGGTCCATGTAGGACTGGGAATTGAAGCAGTTTCCATTGCGTACAAGTCACACACCTTAACCCCTGGATATGTCTCTGACCAGATTTGTATGTTCTGGGACCCAGTAATTCTGCCTAACAGTTTGTTATACCTGACTACTCAGGTGAGTAATACAGGTAGGAGGATGAATATTCTCTAGCTTGGCTTCTAGAAATTAAAGATTGAGGAGCTGGCTCAAAGGCGGTGCCCAGGCCTGGCAGGCACAGTGCTCTGCTCTGCGCCCTGGCTCTGCAGAGCCTCCAAGCAGCACTGGCGATAGCCCAGCTGGCACCAACAGTGGGGAGACCATCCCACCATCAAAACAGCAAGTTCTCTAGGATGAGGGGGGAGGCGGGGAGTACACGCTTTGCCTATGGGAAGCAGCAGTTTGACTTCTGGTACTCATAGTCCCTGAGCACTGGTAGGAGAAGCCTCTGAGCACAGAGCCTAGAGGAGCCTCTGAGCACCAGTGGGTGTGGCCCCATGGCAGACAAAAAGAATAGAAACTGTGCTCGGGCAAGGACCTTGCTACATTGACCACCGAAGGCCCAGGTCTGGAAGAGTCCCTAACACAGAAGAGGCAGTTCCATTCAAACCAACTGAATGAGCAATGAAAAAAGTGAATACAATCTATCGAACAGACTAAAGGAATCTAAATATTTTAAAATAGCATGCTGCTACCCAGAAGGTAAAAGAAAAAAATTAGCTGTAATAAAATCTTCCTGTCAACTACAAGAGCATGTTGTTAAATAGTACGTTGTAGTCGTGTATGCGTATCTTTTATACACACATAATTACATAAAAGACATTAATGTTAGTATCTTTGAAAGAGTCTGAGAAGAAACATAATTATCAAAGGGTAGCAAAGAACCTATTAATAGTCCTCTCTAAGAAAATTTTGGGGAAAAGAAGTGACATGTCTTATTTGTGCATTATTTAACTTTCCCTCTCTTTACTGCATAATAAAACATAGGTTAGAAAGAGAAAAGACATGAGAGGAAAGGGAACACAGAGGGCCTTTAAAAGCAAAACGAGACATGAGGAAAAATTAATGTCAAAACATTCATGGTTTTTTGTTTGGGGGACACACCACCTGGTGATGTTCAAGGCTTATTGTGTTCAGGGATCACACCTGGCGGGGCAAGGGGGAGGGAAGGTCACATAGGATGCTGGAGATTGAACTCAGGTTGGCCACAAGCAAGGCAAGAACCTAATACCTCTCTGGCCCCAAGGATACATGTATTAAGAGTAACACGTGAATCTGACCCAAGACGCCATACTGGTCCTACTTTGAAGGCAGTAGTTCTGGGATCTATTCTAGCTCTATAATTCCTTATTTGAATAGCCACAAAATGCTCTCTGTTTGCAGGCTACATACTTTATTAGAGCTCTCACCTCCAAGCCTGCTGTCAGCTGATAAAATCACTGTCCAATTTCCATTCATGCATTTAAGAAACATACATTGAACTCTACTGTGTTTTGAGCACTGCATTAAGGAACCAGTAGTAAGAAAAGGTCTCAAGATCTCAAGATCTCAATTATGCCTTTAGCTGTCTGGAACAGCTAACTCTCAGATAATTTACAGAATCAACAATATAAATATGTAATAAAATTTAATTAAAATTTTATTTTTATTTATACAATAAAATATTGAATTGTTCATCAAGAAGATATAGTTATCACTTAAGAGTCATGTTAATTTTTTAACTGATACGAACATTCTGGTATATACACACAGATACTTCACCTTGTGAAAGAAGTCCTCTGAATTGCTCAACGGCTTTGTAAATGTCAACTTGGAAAAATTCCCAGAGTTGAAGCTTTGGAAAAATATCCTCCCAAATGATTGTTCGAATGCACTGAAAAATTTTAATAGTTACACATAAATATATAGATTTTAGTAAATATTATATATAATTTTAAAAGATTCTGAATAATTTTCCACCACACGCTTACTAAAATTTTATCATTTTAGTGTGGTACCCCTCTATACATACTGACATTCATTTGATGGTCATTCTCAATCAAAGCAGGGACTCCTCTTTCTTTGTATTTTCCATCTGCAACATCACAGGATAAATGCCAGAATGCTCTGTCTAAGACCCAGGCAGGTTTCAGGTGTGGAGAATTCACCAGGTTGTACGCACATTCTGGATGCTCTTGGATCCATTTACTATTAGTTGCTAAAAAAGAAAAGAAAAAAATTGTAAATAAACTGAAGTTAGTACCTATGTTAAGTTTAAAGATGAAACAAGATATCAACACTCATCTTTTCCCTGTCACTGCCCTACAAACTAGTGATGGAGACAGCAGTCTCTGGTTTTCCTGGCTTGCCTTTACAGGTGTGGAATCTCCACCTCACAAGAAATCTGAAGCAAAGGCGTTTGGAGCCGCGTATTCCTGACTTGCCATGCCGAGGGTAGAGGTATCCCTCACTGTATGGGGAATAGGCAGAGTAAGTGAGCCCCAGACTTCTCAGCTGTTCTTACCTAGAATACAGAGTTCTGGCAACAGAGCACTGGGGGAATGAGCAATGTTGAGAGCTTGCTCCATACAACTGTTAATTAGACTGCAATTGTTAAAGTCTAATAACTTTAGGCTGGAGAGAGCCTATGCTTGGCTGTGCCAGCTAGTGGTAGACTTGCTACTCGGAGCTAGGGCGGGGTGGAAGGAGAAAGCGGGCTGTGATTCCAATGTCACAGACACTCACTGGTCTTACTGAGACTTAGAAGATTTCCTTTCTCTTTTTTTTTTCTTTTTGAGTCACACCCAGCAATGCTCAGGGTTACTTCTGGCTTTGTACTCAGGAATTATTCCTGGCGCTGCTTGGGGAGCCATATGGGGTGTCAAGGATCCAACTGAGGTCGGCTGCAGGCAAAGCAAATACCTTGCTCACTGTACTATCACTTAGGACACCCTTCTTTTCTGCTCCTTTCCTTTCGTTTTGCTGTTCTGGGAGTGACTGGGGTTGTCGAACATACTTGTTTGTGGGGTGCCTGGTGAACTGCATGTCTGACTTGGGTGCATTCTGGGAGCTCACTTAGCTGTGGTGCTGGCTAAGGGTAACACTCCTGGCCTCAGTGCTCACGCATCTTTTCGTTACAGTATATACACTTGGGTTATAGTGACTGCTCACAATTGGCTATGCGTTGGAGATCAAACACTCTTTGTGGTGTTGGGGGTCCCACATGACAGAGCTGGAGACCAGGCTCCGCATATGTAACTGGATTTCACTGGTAACTGGACTCATGGCCTTATGTCGGCAAGACAAGGAATAAGCCATCTCCTTGGGCCTAGTAGTTGATATTCTTGAATAAATGCTTTTCCATAAGCTGAAAGCACTTAGGGAAATTTCCATAGATTTTTAGATGGCTGTTTAAAAAAATAATTTTCGCCAATTATGGCTGTTTTTCTGGGTATGCCTGTGAAGTCCTCGTCTGTCATTCTGGATTTTGACTCTCCTATGATAATTCTTGTTTTGGGGCCACACCTGATGGTGCTCAGGGAGCTGCTCCCAGGAGTGGTCAGGGGGTCATTCAGTGATGGACACCAAACTGATTTCCTGATACAAAGTATGTGTTCATCTTACTGAACTATTTCGCCTTGGATAATTTTTAAAATAAATTATCTGCTTTACAGAAAGCACACTGTCATCTGTAATACTCATAAGTTAGGTTGAGGCAAAGACTAGTTCTCTTATATTGTACAAAATGTATTAGATATTTCAGAAAAAAGTCTTTGGCAGAGGCTTCTGTCTCCTGGTTTTTATTCTTCCTTTTTTTCTTTTTCTTTTTTGCTTTTTCGGTCACGCCCAGTGATGCTCAGGGATTACTCCTGACTCTGCACTTAGGAATTACTCTTGGCAGTGTTTGGGATGTCACAGATTGAACTCGGGTCAGGTACCTGCAAGGCAAACGCTCTATGTGCTGTGCTATCACTCTGGCCCCTTATTCACCTTTCTTTCTTTAGTAACAAACCTCCAGAGGTTTAGTTGTATACATTACTGACAAAGCAACAAGTACATTGCAACCATCTTTTACTGGTGGGTGTGACGAAAGAAAGGAAGGGAGGGAGGGAGGGAGGGAGGGAGGGAGGGAGAAAGGAATGGAGGAAGGGAGGAAGAGAGGAAGGAAGGAAGGAAGGAAGGAAGGAAGGAAGGAAGGAAGGAAGGAAGGAAGGAAGGAAGGAAGGAAGGAAGGGATAGCTAAGGTAGTTTACCAGTTTACTTGGTAGATTCCCAGACTTTTTAATAAATAAAAGCAAGATACTGGGAAGAATTTGAGATAATGACATTTTAAATAAATATTGATAAAAGATAGTGTTTTTCAGGGCCAGGGGAGATAACTCAAAGGGCTAGCGTGCAAGCTTTGTATTGGGAGGTCCAGGGTTCAGTTCCAGCAGCACAGGTACCCAAACTGTGACTCTCAGTTCCAAGCACTGAGCCACAAGTATCCCTTGAGCACCTTTAGAGTGTAGCCCTAAAAAAAACAAAAAGAAAACACAAAAAGTATTCAGACTTCCGGGGCTGGAGGATAGTATAGTGGCTAGGGCGTTTGCCCTGCATGCGGTCAACCAGGGTTTGATTCCCAGCATCCCATATGGTCCCTTGAGCACTTCCAGGAGTAATTCCTGAGTGCAAATGCCTGGAGTAACCCCTGTGCATCGCCGGGTGTGACTCAAAAAGAAAAAAATGTATTCAGATTTCTCTATATTGTATAGACGTGGAAGAGAATATTCTCCAGGTATACTGAGTTAAACTAAAAGCTGATCAATGCTAGAAAATTCTCCAGGTCCTGCTGCTCTGACTGAGAAGGGAACAATAATCTTCCTGAAAATGACCATTGGAAAGCTTGTGATATATTTTATAGACTTATATACTGCTGAGGAATCTCAGTCTCCAAAAGTTCAACTTTAATGAACCCTTTTAGTATGAAAAAAACATTTCTTTGTTCAGCTTTCCATTCTAAGAATTTACCAATAATTCCCCTTCTTAAATAATAGTTACTCAGTCATAGGGGGAGTTAGGCCATATCTCGTAGTACTTAGGGGTCACTCAGGGGACCATGAGGTTCAACTTGGGCCTCCTACATGCAAAGCACTTGCTTAGCTTTTCGAACAATCTCTCTAGCCCTAGTTTTTTTTTAAAATTATATAACACAATTGCAGCCTATGACAACATAGGATTTGTAAGATGAAATATGTGATGTAATAATTCTGCTCTTTTTTCTTTTTTTATGTAAGAGTACTGCTATTTATTCAGCCACTGATTAGCTGATTGAATTGTGCATGAACTCCACCTTACTTTTTTAATTTTTTATAATTTTATTTATTGAATCACCATGAGAGCAGTTACAAAGCTTTTGGGTCTAAGTCTCGGTCATACAATGAAACACCCGTACATTCATCAGTGCCCATTCTCCACCCCCAATAACCCTAGTATGCCCCCATCCCACACCTTCTCCCCACCTGTGGGGCAGATGATTTCCACATTACTCTCTCTCTACCTTGATCACATTCAATATTTCGACACCACACCCACCATTATTATTTGAGATTTTACCCCAACACTCAGATCTGCTGAAAAGGCAACAATAGACAATTTGTTTTCTATTGCTGGTTATGAATAACATATGATGTCATGTGGCTGCAGTAGTGGCCGCACAATTTTGAAATTCTGAAATTTTAACACTTAAATCTGGAGGGATTTCTGCCAAGACCTGCTGGGTTCTGAGATTTGCTCCTGAGTCTCTGGGATCATGGACGTTAAGAAGCTTGATCAGGAGCCAGAAAAGCCGTTCGTGGATGATGACTTGGGGTCTCATTGGAGTGGGGAGGACAGGACCGGCTCCACCCCCATTCTCTGAGGCCCAAAATGTCTCATCACTGCGGGCCCAAACCTGTCCAATGGCCTCTGAAGGATCATGGCCACCAAGCTGTCGGGGGAAAGCAGGCGGAGGGACAACACCCTTTCCCCCCTGGGGTGGCCCGGCGACAGTAACCTACTGCGTGGTCTGGACGCATTTCTGCCAAAAGTCGCTGGGTTTCGAGATTTGTTTCTGAGTCTCTGGGATTATGGCCGTTAAGCAGCTTCATCAGGAGCCAGGGAGGCCATTCGTGGGCAATGACTTGGGGTCTCGTTGGGACGGGGAGGACAGAACCGGCACCCCCACATCCATGAGGCCCAACAAGTTTCGTCACTGTGGGCCCAAGCCTGACTGTCCAGTGGCCTCTGGAGGTTGGCGGCCACCGAGCTGCCAGGGGAAAGCAGGCGGAGGGATAACACCCTTTCCCCCTGGGGTGGCACGGCGACAGTAACCTACTGTGGGGTCCGGACATATTTCTGCCAAAAGCCACTGGGTTTCGAGATTTGTTTGTGAGTCTCTGGGATCATGGCCATTAAGCAGATTGATAAGGAGCCAGAGAGGCCGTTCGTGGGCAATGACTTGGGGTCTCTTTGGGGTGGGGAGGACAGGACCGGCTCCACCCCCATCCTGTGAGGCCCTGCATGTCTCGTCACTGTGGCCCCAAACCTGACTGTCCAATGGCCACTGGAGGATGGCAGCCACTGGGCCTCTGGGGGAACAGGCCAAGGCACGAAACCTATTCCCACCTGTGTTGGCCCAGAACTGGTAACCTACTGCAGGGACCGGACCATTTCTGCCAAAAGCCACTGGGTTTCAAGATTTGTTTCTCATTCTCTGGGATCATGGCCATTAAGCAGTTCAATCAGGAACCAGAGAGGCCATGCGTCCAATTATATAGCTGAGCCAGAGGTGGTTTGTGGGTGTGTTTCCCACATACCTAACTTTTGGCTGTTTACTTTCTTGGTAAACTTTGCCCCAAGTTTTTGGGGTCTGGCCAAAGGCACAACAGCAATTTTGGGGTATCTGGAAGTCTGAAGGCACCATCAGGCTGCTGATACACTCACCTCACAGGTACAGATTGACCTGCTGGAGGCACCATACCCCCTAATTCTGCTCTTTTAATGATCACTTTCCTATGTTTATAAATATAATATAGGAAATGTTTGAATATTGATTTTATCTTCAACTATTAGTGTTTTCTTTGAAAGATTGGTTTGCTACATAAGGTGATTTAAATTGAAGAATATTTAAACAACACTTATATTTTCAAAACTGAAGTTACACGAAACAAAAATGTAATAATTAGAGTAAAAAACTCATCAAAATTAATAAAAATAGTTAATCTCATACCAGTATGATTGTATACAACATCAGTAATGCAAAGAACATTCCACTCCTTTTTCAATTTTTCCACTAGATGTCCAACATCATTCCAGGAAAACTTTTGATTAGGTCTTGAAAAGTCAGGATTTAATTCTAACTGATTAGCAAGGGAGTAGCATGACCTAGATAGGCCAAGAGTTTGCAGTGGGGTAAAGTGAATCATGTTGTAACCTGTAATATAAGAAAATAAAGACTACTGAAAAACCAAGTCATACAGAATTAAGCAAAATATAAATTTTAGCTCTAATTCTAAGCAGCAAGACAATTATGGAGCTAAAAAAGTAATCAAAGACTGGTTCAAATCTGGCTTTACCACAAATGACATTATGCAATTGATTAATCGAGCATTTGTGGATAAAGTTACTGAAACTGGTAATGATATCAGGGTCTTCAAATTTAAGGTAGGGATAATGATATAATATCGCAACAAAAAAATAACAGTCTAGAAACTGAGTTCAGTTTATATTTGTTGAATGGCATATTTGTTTTTGATGTTCCATAGTTTTTATATTCTGTTACAGTTAAGTCAATGAAGTTCTCATTTATTATTTCACAGTAGATTTAACCTGAAGGTAAAATTAATATTAATCTTAAAAAAGGTAAATTCCAATTTAATTTGCATTTTACGCTTGGTATGTAATGAAGCATATGCCTTCCACATGGAGAAGTTAATATTATATATATATATATATATATATTGATTTCATGTTTTTCTAACACAGTGAGTAGTTTACTACCAACTTTCATGTGTCAGAGTAAAACCGTATCAGAACAATGTCTTGGGAAAAAATGTTTTTATTTTATTAGTGTTAAGTTGAATCATATAACTTGTCAATTGATCTCATTTCAAAAATTTCATATGGTTCTAAGCTAAACTTATTAATAATGTAAGAAACAGAATGAAAATAAAAGGCTTTAAAATCTGTACAACAAAGGACAGGAAACAATATTATCTTTAAGAGAAGAAAGAGAAAAAGAAAGCAAGTTGCCATTACCTGACTCTTTGGCGACCATGAGTCTGCTTTCCCATTCATCCAAGGGTCCCAGACACTTAGCTAGATATGTCTGGAGAGTCACACAGTCCAAGGGTAACACATGATTATCAGTACCAACATGTAGAACAGGGTCCACTACTATGTAACCCCCACCACTCTTTTCATTTCTAAGGGGAAAAAAACGAAACAAAAACCTTTCAATTAATGGCAAAAAAAAATTTCTCATCTATCAGTTCTATTTAACTGGAAGGTGAATTGTCCTGTTTTAAAATGCATTCCACATATTATAAGCATGTAAAATTATTTAAAATGTTGTTAGGGGCTGGAGCGATATTACAGCAGGGAGGACACTTGCCTTGCAAGTGCCCAATCCACCAAGAGAAGCCAGCAGGTGTCCCAGTATCCCATAAGGTCCCCCATGCCCAGGAGTAAACCCTGAACAGAGAGCAGGGAGAAAGCTCTGAGCACAGAGCCAGGAGTAAACCCTGAACAGTGCCAGGTGTGGCCCCCAACAACAACAACAAAAATGTTGCAATACAAATTAATGAACAAATCCAGCTTTATCCTTTTCTATTTTACATGTAATTATATAATACAATATATAAAGTATATAACAATGTTAGTTTAATGAAAAAATCATTATACTAAAATCATTTAATAATAATGAGAGGACCCAAATAAATACCACCCTATAATTAGCCTGTATGATAAAACTAGAATAATAATAATGGCATTACTTAAAAAAATTAAAATACTGTCTCAAATTAGCTTTGTTATCAACCTCCAAAACACAGCTATATTCTTTTTGCATCTCAAGTAACTCTAGTAAAAAATCCACTGCTGTGATTCAGGTAACTTTTATAAGTGTAGCACTGTAGCACTGTCATCCTGCTGTCCATCAATTTGCTTGAGTGGGCACCAGTAACATCTCCATTGTGAGACTTGGTGTTACTGTTTTTGGCATATCGAATACGCCATGGGGAGCTTGCCAGGCTCTTCTGTGTGGGTGAGATACTCTCAGTAGCTTTCCAAGCTCTCTGGGAGGGACAGAGGAATCAAACCCGGGTCAGCCACGTGTAAGGCAAATGCCCTACCTGCTGTGCTATTGCTCCATTCTTGTAAGTGAGATAACTTAAAAGTTATAAAATAAGTAAACTCTTTTTTTCAAACAGAACATCCTACTTACCCCTGAAGGAAGTAATACTGAAATGATCCAGCTTGCTCAAGATCAAGTTTGCAATACTTATCAGAGTCATCTTCTCTTTCTGTTGGATTTTCCCATTCCAGGCAACGGAATTTTTCTCGATTAAATGGTTCCCCAGGAAATGGGTAGTTCGTATACACAGTAACTGACTTTCCCTGTAAAGTTGGGCCTAATCGAAACTGTAGCTCAAACCCTAAAAGATAAATAAATAACTCATCTCAACATTTTAAATGACCACGTTAGAGGCTCAGACATAGCTCAGGGGCAGAGTTCCTTACTTGCAGGCAAATGAGGCCTCAATCCTGGGCCCTGTCTCCTATGCCCCCATGCCAGTGAGATCTTGAACTTCTTGCTAAGTTGAGTCTCCTGGGCCACAAAACCAGTGTGTGACCACCAGCAGACTGCAATCAGCTGTATGGGCACCACAATCAAGAGCTCAACCCACTCATCCCCACCACCACAACAATGGAAAGGGAGAGAAAGGGGAAACACAATTTCCAAAGTAAAGTAAAGGCCCTCTCGTTGATCATCGATTTGCTCGAGCGGGCCCAGTAACGTCTCCATTGGAGACTTTGTTGTTACTGTGTTTGGCATATCGAATACATCACGGGGAGCTTGCCAGGCTCTGCTGTGCGGGCGAGATACTCTCGGTAGCTTGCTGGGCTCTCCGAGAGGGGCGGAGGAATTGAACTCGGGTCGGCCATGTTGGCTGCGTGCAAGGCAGTTGCCCTACCCGCTGTGCTATCGCCAAGAAATAATTCTATCAAGATAGATGTTTAAAGCATGATGAAAATTATTTGAAAAATAAATTCAAAACTAAAATGTTATTGGTGAGCTATTTTGCATTTGTACTTAGTTTATATTTGAGCAAGTATAGTAAAGACATCAAGTCTGTACAGTCCCTTCCCTCTCCCTCAAGAAAGAGACTTCAAATGGCAATTTTGGGATAAATATAGCCCATCTGTGATGATGCCCTCAATTTCTTTGTCTTCCTCCTGTCCCCCAAACTCAGCAGTGCCAATCTAACCAAGGACCTTCTCTAGCATGTTGTAACTGAGAAAATGAGTTTCTCTATGGTGTTGGAGTATGCAGTAACATTAACTTCAGAGGCATTACGGGAGGCCTATCTCATTAGAGGGTGTCAGCCTTCCTGAGAAAAGAACCTCTGCGAAGAACTCAGATTTCTCAGCAAAATTCTGAAGACCTATAAGCCCCTGACACCAGCTTTCATTTTTCCTATCTGCTCAAATTTAGTGGTGGAGTAAAAGAGTTAACAAACAGCAAGTGGGGATAAGGGAAGAGAACAGAAGTGGTGAAGAGGCCTTTCTTTCCAGTGTCTATCTAATTCTTGCAGAGAGTATTACCACAGAGAAACTTAAGCAACCAATATAACATCACTGACTGTGGAACTGAAAAGAGAGCTATACAACCAGTTTTTATGAGTCAGCCCAAGAATCTCCAGTTCACAACTATCTAAACCCCTACTCCTCCTGGTTCAGTTACTTGAACCTTTCCTGAAATTCTGAGAGCGAAAAACTTTGGTGCAAGTTGGGCTTCTTCTATTGAAATCTGAGATCGCTGTCCAGTATTGCAATTATTATGTCATTAAGGGGGAGGATTAACATACTACATTTACAAATGGAATGTTAAACAAAAATTTGATTGGTTAAAGGCAGACTTTAAACAATGCAATTATTAGACATGGAAATTGTAACTATAGAAAAGTCTATTGGAAATATGAATCATCTAAAGGCTGGGATGTAGCTCAGAAGTACAACGCTTGTCTTGAAAGTGTGAGGAAGGAAAGGAAAGAGGCAAAGAGGGAGACAAAGAAGGAAAGATGGAAGGAAGGAAGAAGCAAGGCATATAAACTTGAAACGTAAGTGAGAAATTTCACTTAATCATGGGCAAGAAATTTTGTTTTAGCTAGTTATATCTTGAATTCTTAAGGGACTTTTTGAGGAAAAATGCAGTATGTTAATATTAACTTTCTGTGTTTAACTTAAAAAATATCAAATAAAATAATAAAATAATATACTCAGTATATACCATGTAATAGGGAACAAGACAGACAAATGATCCTTGGCTTTGTGAAGCTTGGTTCTTAAGGCAGAATGCAGTAAGAAATGAGTGTGACACACCCACATCCCACATCACCCACCATGTAAGCTCATCTACTGGCCCAACTTTACAGACTCATAATCAAATCTCAGAAGAGATCAACTAGCCACCAAATATTCATGGATATGCAGTTTCCAGCTGAGAACTCTGGGGCACTGTTATTTACAAAGTAAACACTGTTAAAAACTGTAACTTTGTAAATAACTCCCTCTTGGAAGGGGGAGTGGGCCATGTCCTGACCTGCCCAAGCCTGGCATCTGCACTCATACCGGAACAGCTGCTGCCTTCCTAATGGCCAGATCCCACCACCTCATGACTGAATGGCACAGATTGGTCAAACTGCCAAAATTTCCAGGTACACCTTCCCCACTCCCACCCCAAGAACTCTGGGGTCTTCTTGGAGTGGGGGAAGAAGGCCTCCTCTCCTCAAACCCTCATACTTCTGGAAGCCCCGGGAGCCACACCCATATCCCACAACTTTTGCCATGTAAGCACAAGCCCGATTAAATATTCTGGTGTTTCTGGAGCATGTGGCCACATATGGGGCTGCAGGACTTCTCCAAATGGGACAATACTGACATCCCAGGAGAATCAAACAAAATTAGATGGGAAAGTAACATAGCATCCAACTAAGTTCAATTAACAAAATATTAACACAGAAGGCTCAAATAGCAACAATAGCATAGTAAACCCTCAGACAAGCATGTAAGGTCCCCATAGTGAGATATAACAATTTTCACAAATTTTCTTTTACTATTTTTAATTAACAATTTTTAAATTAGTCATTTAATGGTAACAAGTAACATAAAATAAATTATTTTGGGCCTGCTAAGGGGGATGGACTTGAGGGATGGTTGGGAAAATGGGGACAATGTTAGAGGGAAGGTCACACTGGTGGTGGGATTGGTGTTTGAATACTGACCAAACACAGTATATACAGGTATTGCCTGTAACAAACACATCATGAACTACTTTGTAAATAACAGTGTTTAAATAAAGTGGGGGGGGGGAAAAGAAATGAATGAGAAAAATAAGAAAAATATAGTATGTCAGGAAGAGACAAATGCTTAGGGGAAAAAATCAGAGTGATGTGAAAAAAAAAGGCTGGATACTTGGATACTGTAAAGAAATGACAGACATTTTAAAAGGAAAGGTTATTAAGAAGTTGAAAGGTCTGAGAGAAAGGCTGCCCATGGCTACCCATGCCTATCAAGAACAAGTGCTGACCAAGGAAAGGAAAAAGAGAGGATGTAGAACCTAGGTCAAGGATGCTTGATGGTTCCAGTAGTAACAAGAAGCTCAGAATGCCGGGAATGGAGTAAGTTGGGCGAAGTGTAGAATTCACAGGGGAAGCAGACCATACTTATAAGCATCTAAAGTATTCTAATTGAAAGGAGGAGTGAATGAACAGTTTTGAGCAAAGGTGTGACATGACTTAATGTGTTTAAAATGTCACTGTCTGTGGATGTAATTTAAACGGCAGGGCACATGCCTTTTAAATGTGAAGCCCTGGGTTCATGATACCTCATGTCCTCTCTAAACACAGGCTGTAGTCCTGGTGACTCCTGAGTACTGGCAGAAAGGCCCCCAGCTCATCTTTCTTCACCCCAAAATACATTACTCTGAGGATTTCTGCTACTGGCCACAATTACTGAGTAATTGGTATGGAACTTGCATTAAAGGCCCTCCCGTTGATCGTCGATTTGCTCGAGCGGGCCCAGTAACGTCTCTATTGGAGACTCTGTTGTTACTGTGTCTGGCATATCGAATACTCTCGGTAGCTTGCCGGGCTCTCTGAGAGGGGCAGAGGAATCGAACTCGGGTCGGCCATGTTGGCCGCTTGTAAGGCGAACGCCCTACCCGCTGTGCTATCGCTCCAGAACTTGCATTATGCTGAAAAATTATTGCTGTGCTATCGCTCCAGAACTTGCATTATGCTGAAAAATTATAAACAAATTAGAAGCAAATGTTTTCAGAGAGAGAAAGTGAGGATCAATAGACATGCAAAAAAAAGGGCGATCTCTATGAACTCTTAAGAGTTGGGGGAATCTCTGGGCTGTCACATAGGGAAGAGGAAAAGTGATCTTCCTGAACTGAAAAGACAGGAGTTTCAGAGTATAGGGAGGCTGAAGACATTGAAATTTTTAGGGCATATCACAGGAGATCCCGAGATCTCCAAGCCTACTCGGATTTGGGCTGAGCATCCTCCACCCAGATCCTCCAAATTCCCGTAGGCGGGGGTCACACCCACCAACTGGGCCCCTGGCGCCATGTAATCCCATTCATGCCAAGACTTAGAGACTATAAAAACCAGCTCCCGGAAGAGAACAGTGCAGTCTCCTGCCCCCGCGCCTGACTGTCCTCGCTCGCCAGGACCCCTTGGAGGGGAGCGGGTTGAGCTTTCCTCCCCACCCCGAACAGGGCTCCAGCAGCCAAAGACCTCCAGGACCAGCCACCACCATGCTGAGACCACTCTCCGCACACATGAAGCTACTGGCAGAGGGACAAAGTCACGCAGGTTCCAGGGCCGAGATCTCCAAGCCTACTCGGATTTGGGCCGAGCATCCTCCACCCAGATCCTCCAAATTCCAATAGGCGGGGGTCACACCCACCAACTGGCGCCCTGGTGCCGTGTAATCCCATCAACGGCCAAGACTCAGAGACTATAAAAACCAGCTCCTGGACATCTTATTATGACATCTTATTATCTCATTCCTACTTTGGACAAACTGGCAGGCTACCGAATATAGCCTGCCCAGACGGCAGAGTCTGGCAAACTCCCTGTGGCGTACCCAATATGCCAAATACCGGTAACAATGATGGGTCTCATTCTCCTAAAGAGCCTTGAATATAATCTCAGGGCTAGGATGAAGGAGACGTTACTGGGGCCTGCTCGAGGCAATCGACGAATAACAGGATGATTTGTGATTTGTGATCACAGAAGAGAAGAAAGTTATCAAAGACAGAGCTCCAGAACTTTAACCAGGATTGTCTTGCACCTGCATGAGACGCTGTGTATGTGTTGTGTGTCTGTGTGTGTGTCTGTGTGTTGCCAAGGAGTGAACACTGGGC